TCAACCAGTATTCGGCCTCTTTAAAGGATGATGCCCCTGCAAAAGTAGATGAATTTAGTCTTTTATACATCTCAATGTAGTCTGGGTCCATCATGGGAAGAACTAGGTCCCTTGGAAGAGGGACTAGATTGTGTTCAGGATGAACTGGATGGCCTTGTAGCGGTCTCCCATGGGGCAGTCACTATAAAAAATGCTCTCTTTGAAAAAGGGGGTGTCAACCGGATGAGATTCGTAAGTCTATCACTCAAGTTACGGGAGTGACTCCATTTGCCTTAACCTATGGCCACAATGTCGTACTTCCAATGGAGATCACAGTGTTGTATCTCATAGTAGCCCATCAAAAGAACTTAACTCCTCCCAATCTAAATCAAGTTGGTTTTACATGAAGAAGATTTGGCTCAGCATGTTCTATTCGATACGGGTAGGAGAAGTGGTATTCTTTTCTTAAAAAAATAGAAAAAGAAGAACCAAGTCAAGATGATACAGATCAGTGGTGGTACTGGATGATACGGTGGAGGCACCAAATTATACCGTGGTAGTGTTGGGTGATGCAGTTGGGGGATTGGGCTATATTGTGGTGGTGCCGAGTGATAATGTGGTTGGAGTACCGGATCATACTGTGGTGGTGCTAGATGGTACTGTGGAGGAGCAGAGTCGAACCAGGGTAGTTCAGGATCCTCTCGCTGCAGGTGTGGCTCAACTAGGGCAGCAGGGGAGAGTTGGGTAGTTCCCTCCTTTCCTTCCGGACATGCTGGACAACAATAAGTCTCTCCAGTATTTCAAATAGCCAATCAACATCCTCTTGAAGCGAACCCTCCCAGACTACTCGGTTTAGTGGGAGTCTTCCTCTCCTCATCTATTTGTACCTGCATTTCACAAAAAAATAATTGAGTGATAATTCATAATTTTTGGTGTTTCCTAAGGATTTTGTGCAATTAATGGTTCCGAGAAACAAGGCTTTGATATCAACTGTAACAGTCCATGGACTTGAAAGAAAATAAATTATAAATTAAGTGCGAAAGTGAAATAATAACGTTAGGGTTTACATTTCTTAGACAATAATTCAGGATACCCAATAGGGTTACGAGAATGACCATTCTAAAAGAATAATTAATAGTCAAAGAAATAAATGAGAAGTAAACAAACTAAACATTCTACTCGCAACCCTCTTGCAGATCGGTCTTTGGATCTTGGTCTTCTCGATCTGAAATAGTTAATTGAGAGAGTGAGCTATACTAGTACAGTAAAAATATCACGCTACTTACTGACACAGAAATAAAAGTTGGTAGAAATGATAAAAATAATTAATGGAGCTCTTAATTTAAGTAAAATTCGTTTATCATAAATAAAATCATTTACTGCATGTTTACCGTAGCGAGATTTCTAAAACTGACCTATAGAGTCAATAATATAACAATATCATAATTTTATATTCAATTAATCGGAACAACAATTTTTTCATTTATTAGCCTACTTGTATCCGTGAAGGTCCATTGGGATGTCCCTACTACGTGTGAATCTTTTTTCAATATTTTCAACTAAGGACCGTCCCCATATCCCATTCAGTATGAGCGCCAAGAAATACAATCTCTCAATACCTTGTCCAGTATGAGGATGAAACGGACTGTCCCCATACCCCATCCGGTATGAGCACCAAATTACCAATACTCGATACCCTGTCCCGTATGAGGCAATGTTCATGGTAGGATTTTCTATGTATCTTCTAATTTTTCAATTTTAACTGTAAATTATGTAAAACATGCAATATATATATCAAAAAAATACAAATGAGTTATCATACCAATTCAGGTGTATTATCAAGCATTCAAACTGTAAAATAAATCACTCAGTTAAACATGGTAAACAGTAATAAATAATCGATTCTGCCTCCATTATAATTTGTACAAAAGACCACATTATTTACTTCAATTCCATAACAAGGAATAAGGTGAGAAATTCTTACTCAAATTGATGTCCGAAATGCTAAACTTTCAGCTGTGCCTACTAACGATTCTCGAGTTCCCTATATTTTTTTTCGGGGATTAAAACACATTTTAAGTACCTAGATATACCCAAAAAAATTCAAAATCAGTGTTAGAAATTATTTTTGGCCAATTCTGAAATTCCGGCACGACAGCTCTGCCATGCTCCGACGACGGCACCACCGCTTGTAACCGCGGTTTGCTTCGAGTTAGCTGTTTTTGGCCAGTTTTAGTCAATTTCGGCTAGTTTTGTACATTTTCCTACGAGAAAACATGTTAATGGGTATCGATTGGCAAAAAAAAGTTGAAAAACCCAAGTTTATTGGCTGTGGAGTTTTTGGTGCAACAGCTTTACCGGCTCACCTTTGTGGTTGGGTGTTTTGCTTCGGTCAACCTGTAGAAAAAAGAATGGTGATTACAATGGTAAAAAAATTACACGAAAGGAGAATTAGAAAGAGCCTCATCAGATGTAGTTTTTACTTTTTCCTACGATGGTGCCATCGGGATTTACTCGTGATTTCTATCTTATCCACAAGTTCTTTTGCTCTGATTTGACCATTTGGGTGTTTAAAATTGAATTTCGAGCGAATTGAAATTTTTTTACCTTTTTTGTTAGTCGGAAGTGGCTAAGGCGTGGCGGCGGACGACGGTCGGCTCCCTTCCCGGTGACTGGCTCTTCTTCTCCGACGGGGGGGTCTTATGGCTAGGGTTAGGGTTTGGTGTGAAGAAGAGTATTTATATCCGTCTTCTTTTAATTTGAACCGTCTATCGCATTTGACATGGATCGACCGATCGCGTTTAAATAGGAAGTGAGTCTTGATCGTTTATCATGATTTGATCTGGACCGTCCGGTCGCGGGTACGCGGATCGTCAGCGTGGCCTCCCGCGTGGCATCGCGTCAGCGTGCCTTGCCACGAAGCATGCTCCGATTCGTCGGAGTTATTGACTAGGCGTCCTACGTGACACATTTTTTATAAATTATATTTTGACTCCAAGTTTTCGATTTTTCTTTCAGAAACACCTTTAGAATCCAAATTTTCACACATTTCTTCCAAAATTATTTTTAATTTCATTTTTTACCTATTTTTTTTCCTATGTTTACATTAAATAATAATTTATAAAATTAAAAATTAAATTTTATACATAAATTTTAAATTTTACAAATTAATTTCGGTTATTACAATTTCTGTATTAAAAATATATATTTTATTCTATGAAACGAATATATTATGCATGTCCCATAATATGAAATAAATTTTATTGAGGTTAATTTTTGTGGAGCCTCAAATCCAAGTGTAATGAGGTCACTTAGAATCACAACCAATGAGCCCACAGTTCTTTACAAATACAATAAATACAAGCTCTTATTGTAATTAGAGAAACTATTACCTTAATACTAGCGGTTAGGTTATACATGTGATTCAAAAGTCGATCCTAACAAAGTATGAAGGGAATAACATAAACGACAGGTAAAATTTGTTTCAAATTATTATGAAAAGTCTAATAATATATACATTATTTAAGGGGTTGTAAAACTTCGATATTAAGATATTTTGTTAAATAATTTAAATTTTATTTAACAAATTATTATTTTTGAGTTGACATAATGTCAAATATTAAAATTGTTAGTGAAATTATCAGTATTATTACTCTGGGATACAATATTCTATAATAACACAAACTCGACATTCTTCAAACAAGTCTCAAGTATAAATAATATTTACAATGTTACGTTACATTTTTAATTTCTATATATTATAATATATTTTATAATTAATAATGTTATTTACTCAGTCACTTTAAATATAAAAATTTTAATTGAATCATATTTTTGTGAGTAGTGCATTAATAAAAATTTAAAAATAAAAGCTTATTCTATAAGAAGAAAATATTCATACCCATCTCCTTCATAAATATGAAATTTATTATTATAAAATATCCTGTTGACTTTTTACTTAAACACATACTCTATGTACTTCAAAAAATCCGACCTTCCTTTTCCCTTCTCTTTCCCCCGTTAATATAACATACCCTCCTTTGAAAAAGAGGGGGAGCCTGTTCCTTTTTTTTTTTTTTAAATGCTATATGCATAACATATTTATTCATTCAGTCTTAGAAGTTAATAAAAAAATTATGATCTTATATTTGTTTTCGCGTAGGATATTATGTGCAAAAAATAATAATTAAGATAAATGAATAATATACTTAACATTACATATTTATAAAAAATAAATGAATGCAAATAAAATACATATTTTAAAATTTTGAATATAATTAATAAATACAACATTTTGATAAAATAATTTAATTTGTTAAATCGTGTGTTAATGAAATATATTTTTCTACATCTTCATTGTTTAATTAAAAATAATACTATTCAAATATTACGTTATACATAATTAAGTTAATACTATATATATTTATTATTTAAAATAAAATTATTAAATATGTGCACCAAAATGTATTTAATACCTTATAAATTTAAGATTAACTGTTTGATATATTTAAAATTTATCAATATCAACTTATATTTTATAAGGTAAAAAACCACAAAACATCCTCAAGTTTGAATCATACATAAAATTTATTTAAAATAAAAATATATATTTATTTAAAAGTCTATATTATTTAAATTATTAAAATTTAAACTAAATTTAATAATTTTCTAAGGTGAATGCGGAGTTGAATTTGAGTCATTTAGAGTATAATAAAATATTGTGATATTTAAAAATTTATAAATTACCAGCGGAATTTGCCACGTTTCTTTAAGATTCTATCCGTCACTGAAATTGATTTTAAGTACCTGCGCCACTAACGTATATTTCGTGACGATAAACTGCGCTCATGAACGGCTAGGATTTTTCAGTGTGTACAGACGTGGCCGAAACTGGAGGCTCTATGAAGATGGACGGTTCTGATCTCACACATCGGAGAGATCACCAGGCAGGTACACTGCGCCATTCGCACGCTAACATTTCCTCTTAAATGTTGCACCCCCAGTCAAGGTTTAACAGGACAAAGATCAAAGCAACCCACACAGACTATTTTCGCTCTCTTCCTTCCCTGTCGTTGCGGGTGCAGGAAACCTCCCGACAATGGCCGAAGATGCGCTCGGCAACGGTGCCACAGAAGTAGACACAAAGGAACCAGCTCAGGATAGAGTCGACCACGGGCAAGGCACGGAGGAAACATGGACGAAGGATTTACAGTCCCGAATTGTGGCCGCTACGCGCGCTCGTGTTTCTTACTTATTGCAGCAATCAGAGTACTTTCTTTCTCTCTCTCTCTCACTCTACGGATATTTTTGTACGTGTTAATGTGTTTGTATTTAGGTCTGCGTATATGCAGCGGTCAATTGGTAAGATGACTTTGTTCTCCGAGATTTTACTAGCAGGTTGTAGGATTTATGGTTTTTGTAGTGTTCTTTTTTACTTAGGGGGATTTGGTTTCGATTTGACCTTTTTTTGTTATTTGAAATAGTTGATGGTGTTCTTCTTTAGAATTATTTTGTTCTACTAATCTAATCGGGTTTTTAGAAAGGCAGTGGATTATTTCCATGGATTTGTTGAAGGGAATTTGATATCTTCTTCAAATATAGAAACATTTACTGGAGGAAGGAATTCAAAAACCATGGAAAAATTTGGTCTATATTAGCGGCTCTCTGCAGCACAGTGGCTGAGTGAGAAATACATTAAAAGAATGTATTTTATTCATCCCTGGATTATCTTGCTACTTTCTTTTTTAAAGAAAAATCATCGCTGCAAAACTGCATCTCTGTAAGAATGTTTGCCAAAATTATCGTAAAAGCCAAGTCTAAATTTATAAATCGTATACATATGAAACATGGATCTCGTCTGATGCCTAACAGAGAGGTCACTCTTTGTTGGTTGTCAGCAACTGGAATGTTCTTAAGTGGAGTGCCGTGAAGGTGGAAGGCACAAATGAGATGGTGATAATTTAAAAGTACGGCATTATTTTCTAAACTGGTGGCAACCACTTGGTGCCTTGTTTATAAATTTCTTTTCTCCAAAATAAAAACTAAAAAATATGACACAGCTCAGAATGTGAAACAGTGGCTGGTTGTGTTATTAGTGGATTGAGAACTTATGTGCTGATTCTTTCATGTTGTCTGCATAACAGGATTTATGACGTGTGCAAAAATACTTTTTAGAATTTTGAAACTCTTGGTGCATAAAAGACCTTAAAAGAAGTGTGTTATTGGTAGTTTGGTTTTCTCGTTGAACTTTTTTCTTTGAGATAATTCTCGATGAACTTTTTATTTCCTAATTATGTTGAACCAAAGGTTTACTTCAAACTATTTTCTTTACTTTTATTAAATAGTTTATTTAATATTAATGGAGTGCCTTGCAGTAGCAGAATGGTTATGATACTCTTTTTCTTTCTCCGCTTCCCTTGTTCCTTGTGCAGTTTTATTACCTTTGAGGGTGTTAGGAGATTGTTAGAGGAGGACTTGGGGTTGGCTAAATATGCGTTGGATGCGTATAAGAGTTTTGTCAGGGAATGTCTTGCAGTGGTAGGTTTACTGATCTGAATTTTTTTTTTCTCCTGCATTTTTTTGAGCGAGTCATGCTTTCAGCAATATGATTCTATTAGTATTTTTGCGGTATCATTCTTTCTATTAAACGTAAATAAATTAACATTGTTATATTTAGGTGGAAATGGGTAACTGGGCGTACTAGAGTGGTAAATTTGATTTTGAACTGACAGTATATGCAAATGCACAGAGGTATGCTGCATCTAAGATTTGAAGCTCTTGCAGCTTCTTTGGTGCTATGCTATGGAGTGGCTTTCAATTGTGATGTCAAGGCAGGATTCTGCACTTTGTCTTGTATTAACTTTAGCATTGCCTTGAATCACACAATGGATCTGGAAAAGCTTGCTGGGATATATACTGATTTGGGGAAGTTTGCATATGATTCTTTGTGGCAAAATATTTTGATAATTAAACAGTTGGAGCAGAATTTGTTGGTAAAATTAAGTAAGCTGTAACATGGAAGTAATTTATAAATTGTACTGGATGCAATCAGAAAATAAGGAGCAAGTTATGCCATGCCCATAATCAATGAAAAGTAATGTGCATAAACCAAGAAAAATGAGCATCTTTATTTTAATGTGATTTGTCAAAGACCCGCTACATGATCAAGCAAATTATGCTGTTCTGTTTGTTGAATTCAAATTTGTGAAAAAAACCTGCTTCATTTTTCATGGTAGTCTTTAGAAGGTGTTGGTGATAATATGTCCGAGGATTCTGGAAAGGCTGGAAAAAAAGACACTGGTTCAACTGCAAAGGTATCAGACTCACCTCAAGGAATCAAGTCCCAGAAAGACGTGAAGGAAGCTTCCCCTGAAGATGAAGGGAAAATGGAGGGCTCTCCTGTGATGGGTCTTCTTACAGCACATAAAGCACCTAAGTCTGAAACAAAAGAAACACAACATAAGGAAGATAAAGATGTCTCTGAGAGCATGATAAAGGAAGCCATCAAGAAAAGAGTTTCCTATATATTAACAAATTCCAAGTATGTTAATTTTGTGAGTTAGTTATTTAACTCAGTATTATTACTAAAATACTGCTATTTTGATCGTTATTTGTACATAGAATATTGTATTTAAACCGAGCAATTCTTTTATGTTTAGGTTTTCATTTCTGAATTGGTCTTTGACGTAAAGGATGACTAGTTGTTCTTTAAAGGAATAACTATACTGATAACCTTGTTATTTAATGGCAAGATAATATTATGTTTTTTTGTATTCTTGTGTTATCAAAACTCTCTTGTAATAGTAGGATTCTACAACTTGTACATATGCTATACGTACCATACTGGTTAGACTGAAAGTAGTAATTTATAAATTGAAGATTGTATGAGAGCCATATTGATTTTTCCTCCATGTTTTGCATTTTTTCCCTCCTGTTCTCTTTGTCTCTGTATTTACTGTTAACAATACTTGATCTCTTCTTCAACTTAGCAACATTTTCTTTTGTTTGAGCTTTGCCATTTGTCTCTATGATCCTCGCTTTAGCATCTCCAACATCCATTACTATGTTAAAGAAGCTCTAGACTCCATGAATTATCTGGTTTAGAAGTTTCTCTTTCTTATGATATTCTAGGAATATGGGTTTGTCTCTCACATTGATGGAATTGGCTCTTACCCTTCTACTATTTCCGAGTATGACAAAGACATTGCCGACCTAGAATCTGTTGTGTGCAAGCAAAGCAATGCCCTTGTCTTTTCCTGGGTCCAAGCCACAGTCTCATCTAAAATTCTTTGTTGTTTGCTCGATCCCAATATCTCTTATTGCTTGTGAAGTGCAGACCACAATTGAACAACTTCTCCAGGATCCGTGCATTCTTGACTCTTATTACTTTAGTTTGAATTTGCAGTACATCAAACTAAATATATTATGTGGATCTATGGCATCCATTAGGCATTGGTCTACCAAAAATGACATGGTTTTGAGGATCCTTAAAGGGCTTCCTCTCGACTACTAAAATGTTTTTATTAGTCTCAATTCCCAAAAACAGTATCCTCATTGTTGAAGGCTCTGGAGGGAGCTTGTCTTTAACCTCCTCATTGTTTGAGGCTCGGCAGTCCACACAAAATTTCCATAAGGCATCTACTTCTTTGACGAGGGTGATTGGCTTGGCCAAATAATGACTTGTTGTAGCATATCATTACATTGCTGAATCTCATCTTTTTGATAATGAGGATAGCGATATGGATGGGCAACAATTGGGTTTTAAAACCTCCTATAGTGTTACTTGGTGCTCATCATTGTGATTGGGTGGAAATCTAGATGGAGGCTAAAAAATTGAGTCGAGGCAACAAGGACCCACTGTAGCTCCAATTGCATGCTTGTTTCTATTGCAACCATTGAGAAGCGAGGAGTGATGAGATTAGAATCTGGGTACCTTGCAATGTTATAACAAGAACAGGATATAAGAAGGACATCTTCAAGATGCAAAGTTTCAGCTTGTCAGACCCTATGTTTATAGCCAATTAAATCCAAGCACATCCTCGAAACTGTTCAATCGAAGGATGAATAAATCCAGGCAGAAACAAATTGTACCTAGCGGCAGAGGTATTTGCCTGCACACTCCCAGTCTGCAAATTCTCTTTGTTTGTCATCACTACTTCGAAGCCCTCTAGGTACTCCACCATAATTCACAGATCAGAAAGAAATTCTTCATACATAAACCAAGCTCTACCAAAATCAGTGAGAACAAGTAAGGGCATGTCATAATCTAAGGCTTTGACCTTCATTTTGAGGTGTAGGTGCCTTGGTAATGGCGTGAATCTGGATTTTCAGCTCTGATGATTCATTTTTATATCTCCATAAGTTGTAGCAGACTAATTTTTTACAACCGCAACAGGGTAAAAGAGGCTCAGCATAGTTAAGACACAAACCTCTTTGTCTTTATTCCTCCATGGCTGCATGATTTTTAGCCTCCCTGGAACTTTCAGCTTGCCAGGTGATGAGGTACTTATCTTCTTCAGCTATGTGTATGCTTGCAGTAATTCAGCCATCCAAGGGGACTCCATCAAAGTGAGAGAAGTCCAACTTAGCAAATCAAGGGATCGTGCCTCCCTGTCCATGCTATTACCTGCACCCAGGGGCTGTTTTTAGCGATGCTCGTTGCTGCTTCCCTCCATTGTGCTGCTATTGTCTAGCTTGGCCTGTGAGAATTTTCAATAAAGACTCTGATAGTTGCATTATGTGCTCTCCTTGCTGTTCTTGAAATCGTGGCCTATCATGCTTCCTTTTTCTCCTGCTGTTGGTGTGCTCTTCTTGATAAACTGTTGCATGGAAAGTCAGCATATCACTCATGAAGTCTTGCTTTTAAACACTTTGTTATTATCCCAAGTCTGGATTGTGCAATGATCAACTGACTGGAAACATGCGCAAAACTTGCTTGTTGGATTATGGCATCAATGGTCTATGGTTTAGGGGTTATCGAAGAGAATCATTGTTGCAGCGAATATTTATAGGGACTGCTTGCTCCTACACCTAGATTCAAGAGATGTTTTCATGTCTAAGTCCAAATATTCCCTACCTTAAGACTTGGAAGTAATGTTAAATTAAAGTACTAATACATATGATTCCTGGTGAATTCCTTGGGCTACATCTAACTAAGATAGAGTACTAAGGAGAATCCTAAGTAGAGGCTGGAGTCAACTCAGACTCTGGTGGTGCATTTTCTGCCTCTGCATTGTGTTTCACATGGGTCCCGGGGCTGGTATACCAGATTGGTATTATTGATTGTTGCTTCCAGACATAACATATATTTTGTAGACAATGCGAGTTTAATTTATCCAGGACACGGTACTTAAACTAAAGTGTCAGGCAATAAAAAATTCTTTGATTACCTTTGGAATTATTGGGGAATACAAGCACATTTAACTTCAGAACCTCTAATGGGATGGCCGGTTGGGGGGTTGGGGTGAGGAAAATCTTAAGAAAAATTCCAAAAGTAAAGAAATTCGAAGGTGAGGAAAATAAAAGTCATTGAGAGCACCATAAAGGAAGTCTTCAAGAAAAGAGTTTCCTATCTATTAATTCTATGTGCTTTCATTCTTTGATTTGGTTATTTAACTTGGATCCTTGGATAATGATCCTGCTTCATTAGTCATCATTTTCTACATAAATATATGTTTCCTGTACTGATCTTGGATGTAAAGACAATTACCAGTTATTCAGGGGATTTAACATATAATAGCATTACTTGCTTTATTTCAGGGAACTTACAATGACTGGACTTCGTCGAATTTTGGAGGAAGATCTTACACTTGATAGGCATACTCTTGATCCATATGGTGATTTCATACGCAGCCAGGTAGATGAGGTGAGTTTAGTTTGTCCTTGAGGTACTACATAAACCAAAGTATAAGGCAATGGAGTTTCTTTTGCTTACCTCTGCAATTGATTAGGCGATACAAGCAAATGTAACTTTGGAACCTCTAACTGGGGTTGGAGAGAAAAATCTTAAGAAGAATTCCAAAAGTAAAGAAACTCATAGTAAGGAAAGTAAAGGAGTCTCTGAGAGCGCAATAAAAGAAGCCATCACGAAGAGAGCTCCCTATTTTCTGAAAAAGGCCGAGTAAGTTTGAATTGGTTATTTAATTTAGTATTGTTGGATTAAGGTCCTGCTATATTTAATCATAATTTTACATGTAAACATTTGTTTTTATCCTAATAATTCAGTTATGCATCGGTTTCATTTTTCTATTGGTCTTCGATGTAAAGGGAAATTAACTCTTATTCAGGTAGAGTTAAATAGATAATAATAATATTCACTTGCTTATTTCAGGGAACTTACAATGACTGAAGTCCATCAAGTTTTGGAGGAAGATCTTAAACTTGATAAGCATGCTCTTGACTCATATGACAAATTCATACATGAGCAATTAGATGAAGTGAGTTTAATTTCAGGAGGCAGTACTTAAACTACAGAAGTATCAGACAATCTAATTCTTATGGTTACTGCTGGAATTTGATTAGGCAATACAAACTCATTTGGCTTCAGAACCTCTGGCTGAGGTTGGGGAGAAAAATCTTAAGGATTCCAAACATAAAGAAAGTCAACACGAAGAAAACAAAGAAGTTCCTGAGACCACAATAAAGGAAGCCATCAGGAAAAGAGTTTCTTATATAAAAAAAAATTCAGAGTAAGTTGATTCTTTGAATTGGTTATCTAACTCAGGTCCTGCTTACTTTTTTCTTATTTAATTCCAAATTCCAATTTTTATATTAATATTACTATGCATAATTACAACATGATTTATTTTCAGTTAGAGGTAATAATTAGTCAGGAGATAAATGGAAAAGTAATTAAATTGCCATTTGTTTCGTTGGATTAAAATACTGCTAGTTAAATTATCATTTTCTATATACATACTTGTTCTATTCCTAGCAAATTTGTTACAGGTAGTATATACATATTTGTCCTATTCCTAGGAAATCTGTTACATGTAGGTTTTCATTTTTCGATTGGTTGATAATAAAAATATAAACACGTAATAATCTCACTCACTTTTATTTCAGAAACCTTACAATGACTGGAGTTCGACGAGTTTTGGAGGAAGATCTTAAACTTGATAAATATACTCTTGATCCATACAAGAGTTTCATAACTGAGCAGATAGATGAGGTAACTTTAACTTGGTCATGAGGCCGTACTTAAGCTAAAAATTCAGTCAATCTAATTTCTTTTCATGCTGTTGAAAATCAAGTAATTATAGTTTCTATATCATAAATATTTACTTCCTAATTAGAAGATATGACACCAAGATTGACCATCTCTTTGATTTGACTTGTCATTTACTCTGGAAAATCCTTTCACTAATTAGGAAGATTTTTTTGTGTAAATATGGTAATTTTTGTTTTATAAATACAATTCTTGTATTATTATAAAAAACCATGAAAAACACAAAATTTTCATTCTTCATGGTATTAGAGCAATTCTCTAAAACGAGAAACTTTTTCCTCCTTGTTCAATAGCCTCAATCGTCTCTACTATTTCATCTCAATCTGTTACTAACTCTAATGGAGGATTTGAGTCCAGTGCCTTTATCATTACTGGACACAAATTGAATGACCATAACCATCTTCATTGGTTGCATTCAGTTATGATGTTCATTTGTGGTCGAGGAAAAGATGACTACATTACAAGTGCATTCACTAAACCAAAATCTGAAGATCCACTCTACAAGATGTGGAGAACTGAAAGTAACATAGTCATGTTATGGCTTATAAATTTCATGAGGAATGATGTTGGAGAGAATTATTCTCTATGAAACAGCACAAGGAAATCTGGGATTTGCGCGTGAAACCTACTCAGATAAGGAAGATACAATGGAAGCTTTTGAGATGGAAGGTATCCTCAATGACCTCCTTCAAGAGAACCTCTCAGCCACCAATATTTCAACCATCTGTGTAGGTATTGGCAGCAATTAGATGTGTATGAAACTACTCAACGGGACTGGCCAACCGATGCAGCCAAGTATAATAAAATTGTTGAGAAGAAATGAATTTATGAGTTTCTGTTAGGATCGAAAAAAACCTTGATGAAGTTTGTGGTCGAATCCTAACAATCAAACCTCCTCCTAATCTGCAAGAGGTACTAGCTGCAGTCTGATAGGAAGAAAGCAGGAGAAAGGGAATGATGGGGCCTGGGAACTAGTCCATTAATAATAACGATTTTGCATCACAAAGAACTAAGGACAAGCACACCAATAAGGAAAGGCCATGGTGCAAGCATTATAAGAAACTTGGACACACCCGTAACACCTACTGGAATATTCATGGAAAACCACATGATATGGAAGCCAAAAACCAAGAGGGAGGGATGTGCAAATTATACTACAACCAAGGAACAATCAAACCAATTTGACTAGGAGCAGTTGGAAATCATTCAAAAGCTGCTTGTTGATGCACGACCGACTTTTTTTACTCCAAATTCCAGCCCTTCAGGAATAGCAAATGTGAGGCACAAAGGTATTTTTTCAATAATTCTCAAAACTTATAGGGTGGACAAGAAAAATTTGTGGATAGTCGATTATGGAGCCTCTGATTATATGACTGGTGATGTATATTTTACTCGAAATGTCGCTACTTTTCATGAAAATTTTATTGTCGATATAGCTGATAGATTGGTCTCAAAAGTGATTGGTAGAAGATCTATGGTTATATTAGAAAACCTGACCCTCAATTCAGTTTTATTTGTTCAAAATCTAGACTGCAATTTTTGTCAGTTAGTCAACTTACAAGGGAAAAAAACTGAGTCACTATATTCACCTCTAAATGTTGTATCTTTCAGGATTTAACTTCGGGATGGATGATTAACAGTGTTTAATTTGGAACTTTACATGCTCAAAACAACCGAACCTCATGATAATTTTTTAATGGAAAGAAGACAATGTCAATATAGCTGATAGATTGGTCTCAAAAGTGATTGGTGGAAGGTTTATGGTTCTATTAGAAAACCACCCTCAATTGAGTTCTATTTGTGCAAAATCTGAACTGCAATCTTCTATCAGTTAGTCAACTTACAAGGGAAAAAAAATTGTCGCTATATTCACCTCTAAATGTTGTATCTTTCAGGATTTGACTTTGGGATAGATGATTAACAATGTCGAATTTGGGACTCTACATGCTCAAAACAACTGAACCTCATGAGAATTTTTTTGCGGAAAGAAAACAATGTTTCTTTGCCATCAAGAATAAAAATAGTGAAATAATATTATGAAATCATCGTTTAGGTCATTCAAATATTCTGTATCTCAACAAACTCTCTCATTAGTTGTTTAATCATAACTTTATTGAATTTTAGTCAGAATCCTGTCAATTATCCAAATATGTCCGAAATACCTATCCTATCCAATAATATAAAGAATCAAATCTCATTTAAGCAATTCATATTGATGTTTAGGGACCATACAAAGTCAAGGTTTGACTGGAATAAGATGGTTCATAATGTTCATAGATGACAACTCACACTTTACTTGGGGATTTCTAATGAAGGAAAAATCCAAGGTTGTAAATTGTTCAAGTTCTCAATAAAATAGTGCAAACTCAATTCAACAGAAAAATCCAAATCCTCCACACAGATAATGCCAAAGATTATTTCAGTTTTATCCTTGGAAATATTTGATCGAAGAGGGAATTATCCACAAAAATTCATGCATTGACGCTCTTCAACAACATAGAATAGCTGAAAAGAAAGAGACTTGTATTAGGAATTACATGAGCTATCATGATTTAGTCTCATGTTCCAAAAATTTTACGGGGGATGCCATTCTCACTACAGCTTACTTAGTCAACTGGATATCTTCCCATGTCCCACAATTCCATTCACCTTGTCAAGTCTTCAAAAGTGCCTATCCATCAACATGACTTGTCTCATCAATTCTTCCAAAGGTCTTCAAGTGTTGATAATTTGTTTGTGTTTCTCAACAATTTAGAAGCAAATTTGATCTCCAAGCCATAAAATGTATCTTCATTGGATATACGCCAAATCGAAAAGAATATAAATGTTATTCTCTGGTTACCCAGAAATTCTATCACTTTATAGATATTACATTTTTTAAAAATGAACCATTTTATTCTAAGAATGATGTTAAGGGGGATAATGGAAATACGAAAGAAATTTTTTTTTTTTTGGAAATTTGGGAGCAACACCCAAATACAAGATCCCAAATTTGTTGAGTCAAATCCTCCTAAGTCTATTGTTTCCCCAAACATCAGTTCTAGTTCGAAAGGTCCCTTTCAGAGTATTTCTCCAAACAATGAGAAGAACTCTTAATATACTCAAGAAGACAGAAAAGCCAGACACTTACGCAGGAACAAATGCACGAAAGAGCTAGTCATGAAGCTGGACATGAGCCATTTTGGGAAGAGACAATCGGGTAAAACTTCTGACAAGTTGACATTACAAGATCTCGATTTACCAATTACTTAAAGGAAAAGAGTCAAATCTCGTATTCATCATCCTATTTACAACTTAATGTCATATAAGAAATTATCACTTGAATATCATGCTTTTTCTACTAAATTCATGGAAATTCAAATTCCTAATAGCATTCAAGAAGCCATGCAAGATCATGAGTGGAAGTAAGCTGTTATTGAAGAACTCAAGACAATTGAGAGAAATAGTTCATGGGCCTTGTTCATTAACCTTTGGAAAAAAAACCTCTGGGATGCAAGTGGATCTTCACTATTAAACACAATGCAGTTGTTAACATAGGCAGATTCACGGGATAGAAAAAACATTTCCTTTCTAAAGGGGGCGACTGACTTTGATTAAAAGTACTTCTGTGAATCTCCCTATTTATTACTTGTCAGTGTTGACTATCCTGGTCAAAATTACTAAGAAATTAGAGAGTATTCAATGTAGCTTTTTTTTGGAGGATGATGACAGTAACAGAAAATATCATTTGCGTCGGTGGGATGATGTGAAGAGGGCTAAGGGGAAGGGGGGCTTGGGGCTTCGGTCTTTGGTGGATTTAAACAAAGCTTTGTTGGGGAAGTGGTTATGGAGATACCATACGGAGGAGGGGTTGTTGTGGTTTAGGGTCATTGGGGCGAGGTGGGGGGACATGGTGGGAAGAGAGAGTGATAGGAGGTTAGCTAGGCCTCATGGGATGGGTCTTTGGAAGGGTATTTGTTTGGGGAGGGAGAAGTTCTTTGAGGGTATTAAGTGGAAGATTAGGAGGGGCAACATTATTAATATTTGGGAGGATGAGCGGTTGGGAAGGGGCAGCCTGAAAAATCTATTTCCAAGAGTTTATAATTTAGTGTTGAGGAATAATGTGGTGGTGGAGGAGGTGTTTAGGGGTAGGGATGGGAGAAGCGGGTGAGATATCGATTTGGTTAGAAATCTGAATGACTGGGAGATTGACGAATATACAAGGATTCTTCAAGTTCTTATGGATGTCCATTTAGATACATGTAATGATAAAGCTACTTGGAAATTCAGGAAAGATGACGCTTTTACTGTGAAATTATTTTATGATTACTTGACGTCCAAAGAAGATAATAAACTGAATTTTCTTGACAAACAAATTTGGAAGGCTAATGCACCTTCGAGTATTGCTTTTTTTTGCTTGGGAAGCTGAACAGGAGTGCATCCTTACTATTGACAAGTTGATGAGGAGGGGACATATTATGGCGAATGGGTGCTACCTTTATTTGGAAACTGTTGATCATGCAACCATCTTCTTCTGTAGTGTTCGGTGACATATAGTCTATGGCATATGGTGTATAGCTTACTGGGTGTAAATTGGGTGATTGGGAGTTCGGTAAAAAATGAATTGTGGGTTTAGGACGGGATGGAGATTAGATATAAGTTTTCTAAATTGATTCATTTGTCTATCTTTTGGGTTATTTGGAAAGAGAGAAACAATAGAGCATTCAATTGGTGTGTGAGAGATATTGGAAGAATTAGAGATAGATGGCTTCACTTTTTTGGATCTCTAATTCTGGGTCATGATTTGTATGGGTGGAATGATTTTGGAAAAGTTTTAAATGTTCTAACCGATTTGTAAATAATTTTATATAGGAGTGATACTCCATTGGTGTTACATACGTAGTATACATGCTTTTATTTTTTTTAAAAAATATATAGGCAGATTCAAGACTTGTTTCATTGCTAAAGTCTTTACTCAAGCCTGTGGTATTGACTACTAGGAGACTTTTATACTCGTTGCAAAACTTAACAACATTTGAGTTCTCTCGTTATTGGCAACAATTCTGATTGGAAGCTTCATCAGTTAGACATCGAGAAAGTCTTTTTCAATGGAGAGTGAGAAAAGAAGTGTGCATGGAGATCCTTGAAGGTCTCAAAGATCAATATTAACTCAAACAAGGTTTGTAAGCGAAATAATCTCTCTATGCTCAAGCAATTGCCCATAGCTTGGTTTAAGAGATTTTCTAAGACTGTAAGAAATTGGATATGTCCAATGTTAGTCAGATTGTACCCTATTTGTTAAACATTCTCCTAGTTGAAGGATAGCTATCATAATTGTTTATGTAGATGATTTTATCTTAACAGGAAACCATGAAGAGGAGATTATAGAACTTAAAAAAGTTTTAACTCATGAATTTGAAGTCAAAGACCTAGGAAATCTAAAATTTTCTTTGGAATGGAAATTATAAGGTCTCAATTAGGAAGGTGGTTTCACAAAGAAAGTATGCCTTTTATTTACTCAAAGAAATAGGAATTTTGGGTTGTAAGCCTGCAAATACCCCAATAGAAGCAATCACCCAAGGAAAAATGAAGAAGAAAACAATGAATCGACTAGTCATCTACCTCTTACACACACGACCAGATATTGGCTTTACTTTTAGTTTGGCTGGTAGTTCATGAATAATCCTATTAAAGAATACATGAATCGACTATATCATATTTTAAGGTAGTTGAAGAAAACTCTTGGAGGGCTTCACTTCATATAAGACTAAACAAGAATATCGAAGTGTTTATTGATGCATATTTGGTAAGATCTAGTATTGATTGAAGATCCACTTTAGGATATTGTATTTATGTGTGGGGAAATTTTGTTATCTGGCAAAGCAAAAAACAGAAAATGGTTGCTTGGGGTTAGCGGAAGCAGAGTTCAGAGCTATGACCAATGTGATGCGTGAAGGAATGCGGTTAAAATGCTTACTCAGTGAACTTAACATTCAAGTAATTGGTACTATCAATATGATGTGCGAGAGCCAAGTTGCTTTAAGTATAGCTAAGAATTCTGTTCGTCATGATAGGACGAAACATGTGGAAATAGATGGATACTTTATCAAGGAGAATTTAGAAGGGGGAATAATTAACATCTCCTATGTTTTCACTATTCAACAAAGAGAAGATATTTGGACTAAGATGCTAGCAAAGACAAATTTTGAAGATATGAGGTCCAAGCTAGGCTTACATGATATTTACTGCCTAACTTGAAGGGGAGTGTTAAAAATCGAGTAATTGTAGTTGTTATATCAGAAATGTTTACTTCCTAATTTAGAAGATATAGCACAAAGGTTGACCAAACCTCTTTGATTTGGTCTGCCTTTAGTTCTGGAAAATCCTCTCACTTATTAGGAGGATTCTTATCAAACCTCTTTGATTTGATTTGTCATTTGTTCTGGAAAATCCTCTCACTAATTATGAGGATTTTTTTGTGAAAATATGGTAACTATTGTATTGTAAATATAATTCTTGTATCATTATCAAAGGCAATAAAAAAATACAGAATTATCATTCTTCAGTTACCTTCGGAATTGATCAGGTATTACAATCTCATGAAGCTCCAAAACCTCTATCTAGGGTTGGGGAGAAAAATCTTAAGAAGAATTCCAAAAGTAAAGCATCTGAGGGAAGTTCTGATTCATTAGAAGGTGAGACTGATGAGGAAGAACATAAGGTGAAATCCAAAAAGAAAATTGTTCCAAAAACAAAAATGCAGAAACCAGAGCGGCTTAAAAAACGGAGTATACCTGAAAGTAATACAAAAGCGTCTGCCAAGAAGAGGATGAAGCCTTCACAAAAGAATTCAGTGGATGATATTAATGCAGAAGACAGTGAAATTATCTCCGATGATAGCCAGCCTCAATCATCTGCTGAGAAGCCTATGAAGGTTTGCCGTTTTCATTTGTTAAAAATCTGTGCAAAGGTAAAGTTCTAATTTAGTCAGTATCCTTTAACTCAATTTTACTATTATGCAGAAAAAAGAAGTATTGACTCCGGCATATGGAAAACAAGTAGAGCATCTAAAATCAGTTATCAAAGCATGTGGGATGAGGTTTTAATTCAACTCGTTTGTTTATTAATCCAGATCTTTTTCTGGTGGATTCCTTACTTTTGCTTATTTCATATGCAGTGTTCCCCCTTCTATTTACCGGAAAGTAAAGCAGGTTCCTGATAACAAACGGGAGACCCACTTGATAAAGGAACTTGAAGAGATTCTTGCTAGAGAAGGACTGTCTGCAAATCCTTCCGAAAAAGGTAAAGTTTGCCACTGGTTGGTAGCTCTGGTTATAGGCTCGCAATAGTAAGTGTGCTGTATGCTTTTTTATTTTTGCTCTGTAATATGCTGATTGCTGTTGTGTGGAGGTACGATAGAGTCCAGTATATGTGATGCGCTTAGAGATGGCAAAATCTTACCTGGCCTTGTAAATCTGATTCGATTTATTCAAAAAAATCTGCTGAAAGTTACTTGAAACCCAAATGACCTAAACTAGAAATAACCTAAAACCTGGAAAACTGAATAAGCCCCAATCTGTGCATTTGTAGGGCGGTAGGGATAGGTGCAAGAGAAAGGGAAAAGGAATGAAACTAATCTCTATCTCTAATATATCCTATAATTGAACTGATCTTTTGGAAAGAATTAGCCAAAGTATGTGCTTGGCATTCATATTGGATTTCTTGGCATGCTGGAAATGACTTGGTTAATCATATTCAAATCGCAGGATGTTTTGGTTTTGTTTTGGATTTTTTTTAAATGTAGAACAAGATGTTTTGTTAAAGTTCTTTAACAAACATTTCTTTTTAAAATAAAAGTATGAATTATATTAATAGGCATCAAGGTGGTGCCAACTCGTATGCAAATATTTACCTATCTATCAAGATTTTAATAAGATTCTCAAAATTTTTTATTGAATACAGAAGATGGTCCAAAATAAAAAAAAAACGAGGAGTCTGGAACCATCTATTCAAATCATATCAAAATCCCTCTCATTCTCAATCCCCCTCGCCCCCCCAAAGCTTTTCTATTTCTCTTCTTCCATAACACTCAAAAGATGATGAGTGGAATAAGATCAATTACATTTCCTCCACAAATTATGCTCTTCCCCACTCAAATTTCATCTTTGACTGACCGAGTGATCACCCAGCTGATACTCAATTAACCATAAATCATCGACCATAACTTGTATGCCATCGGACACCATAAAAGGAAATGGCTACAAGTCTCCGCAACTCCTTTATACAAGTACATCCATTTGTCATAATCGTATCACTTTTCATCAATTTATCAATCATCAGAATGTAACATCCATTCGCTTCCCATATGAAGAAATCCACCCTGGGAGGAGCGTTAGCCTTCTATTTCTGTCTAAAAGGAAACTTGCTACCTTCTCCTGCTTAGTCGAATGCTTTAAAGAGATTTGATTGTAAAAGATCCAAATTTACTAAGACTTCATATGGGTTGATCGTCCCTTCTGTCCGGGACAATGGGAGATAGGATAAATAGGAGGTTCTCATATTTGTTGATCTTGCTATCATTGAGGTTTCTCTGTACATCTACCTGCCACTCCTTAGCTCCCCCCATATCTCTGGAAGATTCACTCACCGGAATATCTTTCTGTTACGCTATGGTGAAAATCTACAGATATTAATCTCTTATGGTTCCACCTTTCAACCATGGGTCTTTGACTGGGTAATTGCTGGTCCGGTTGGTGGGACAATTTGGGCTTGGGATGACTTATATGTAAAAAAAAATATAGCAAATTTAATCCCTTTATTGTTTTTTAGATTCTTTGAAAAGAGAGAAATGTTAAAGCTTTTAAAGGTGTAGTGATTAATATGTATAGATTAAGAGATAGATGGATTCACTATTTTAGATTTATTTTGTTAAGTTATGACATTATTAGTAATGAGAATTTTGGGAATATCATAGATACACTGACGTTATTGTAAATTTTTTGTACATGGGTAGTAACTCCGCTTTTTTGGTACCTTATTAATATATACTTCACACTTTTTTTCTCAGAAAAAAGTGGGTCTTTCGAAAAACTAATTCGGTCACCCTTTCCAGCCTTCCATTGATACCCGTATGAAATCTGGCTCTACCCATGCACATCTTTTTCCACAAGCCTTTCCGTATGGTGTTGTCAAGTTCTGGTGTATCTACCTTTCTCATCTACACTATACTTGACTTCTATCACCCTTATCCACCATGTACGCTCTTCATGCATAAACCCCCACAACCATTTACCTTGTAGGGCCAAGTTTATATCCACTAGGGACCTTAGCCCCAATCCTCTGTGAGTGATAGGCTTCTTGATCTCCTCCTATGCTACTAAATGAGATCTTCTTCTTTCATTTGAATCCCTCCATAAGATTCTACATTATATGGTTTCTATTCTCTTGGCAACACTTGCTAGAACAGTGAACAGAAACATGTAATAAATGGATAAATTTCAATGTTCTTTAAGTGGGTGTTACTCTCCCACCTTTAGAAAGAAGAACCCTCTTCCGTCTCAGCAACTTCTTCTCAAAACTATTCATCACTAGATCCCGAGCACTTATCTCTTTGTAATTAGCTCCCAGTGGTAACCCAAGTACTTAATTGACAACTTAACAGCTTTACAACCCAGCACCCTCGCCAACCTTGCAGTATCGCTATGATTCCCCAATTTAACCATCTCAGACTTGGAAGGACTAATAGGCAATTTGTTTAGTTAATTTGTCATAACAGTTCCAATCTTTTGAATTCATGCATAGTACTAGGGAAAACATCACTTCGTGTAAATTTCCGGACTGGAGGTATCATGTTCCTTCTTATTTTGTCCAAAATGTAAAGGGAGAAGGTCATGTTTATGTAAAGGGCTAAATGCATCATCTGTACTTGTAATTTGGTTGGGTATGGGAAAGGAAAAGAAGAACTCTGGACTCATCTCGTCTTCCTTTTTGGAACTTATGGTGTTATCCCCTGAACTCTTAAAGCATCTAGATTCTAGGTTCTGTATTGCCATTGATTGCTATTTAGTGGAGAGTTGGTGTTGTGTATGAGGACACAATGTTTATCTAGAAGTATGCGAATATAATCATTGATGTGCTTCTGTTCCTGTTCCCGGTCAGTCTTTCATGGTATTAAATTTGCAGGGTCCAAGTTCATTGGTTTTCTGGGATTGGTGATTTTAGGAATTATAAGAGGGTGTTTGAGATTATGTACAAAAAGTATGTTGATAAGGTGCTTTAACTAGCTTAAGGTACATAAATTGTTACTTTAAAAATAAGCAGTTTTGCATTTAGATTAAGTTTGGCTTGCAAAAAATAAATAGTTATTTTTTATAATTTTTTTATTAGTCTTAATTTTAAGGGGATATTTAAGAGAGTAGTTAAGTAAATTTGTTAGATAAAAAAAATTAAGAAACTAAAAAAGTTCGGGGTGCTTATTTTTATGTTATTAGAGTCAGTTTTAAGAACCTAATAGCATCCTGTTTTTAATGTTAACAAAGTGGAATTTGTACAGTGTTTTAACTGAAAGTTGGCTACGTATGACTGGATCATTTTCTTTTAAAATAATGCTGGTGGTTGAGATTCAGTAGGAAAGTTTCATCCTGAGTTTGTTATAATAGTTACATGAGAGGATGATGAATGCATTAATACAACGAATTCTGATTTCTTTTTATCCGCAGAAATCAAGGGAGTAAGAAAGCAAAAGGAAAGAGCAAAGGAACTCGAGGGGATTGACGTGAGTAATATTGTTTCAAGTTCACGCAGAAGGTCTGCCACCAGTTTTATTGCTCCACCAAAGCCCAAAATTCCAGATGAAAATATTGTTGATGATTCTAAAGATACTGATAATGAAAATGAAGATGATGAGGGCGATGATGAAGACGATGATAATAATGACAGTGATGAGAGCCACAGTGAGGAGTTTGATGAGGGTAAGTGTTTCATAAATTTTTAATGGTTTCTTTTTGTTTGCTGCTTACTTTATGACTGGGCTTGGGAATTAAGAGAATGGTAGTGGTGATTAGTGAAGGTTGTGGTCTGTCATCAATATTTTAACATAGGTCAAGCACCGTCAATTTCAGTATTTCTTTTTTGCAAAGGATCAAACCATGCTCTAATGTAATAAGTAATCTTGATGCAGACGCAGAGTAGAATATTGTCACAACTAGTATTTCTCCTAGCTTTTAGTTTCCCATAATTAATTTCAAGCTTTTCTATTTAAGTCATTTGACCCAATAGGGTGCTTGGTTTATTAAAAAAATCTGCTTAAAAAGTGCTTCAAAGGCACCTAGGTGCTGATTAAAAATAATTAATTATGAGTTTGGTTAAAGATGTTTACTAAAAACATAGGTAAAGTAAGTATTTTGAATCAACATCCTAAAAGTCAGGGGAATTTTTCTTTTTTCTTTCCTCCTTTTTTACGTGAGAGGTAATTAAATGGTTTTCTTATTACTATAGCAAACTAATATTAGAATAGCATGATTAAAGTTGGTTATGAGTATCTAATAAATAGCTAACTCATTACATTACCAAATAGGTAAATTTGAATAGAGCGTTTAGAGCTACTCATAAATACTTTTAAGGCAAATCAAGGCCTATATATTGAAGAAAAAGAATCACAAAATATCCTTATTATGTAATGAAGCTCTGGATGGTTTTTGGTTCTCCTTTTTCTTTTTCAATAGTAATCTTAGAGCTCTATAAATTATATGGGCTAAACATCATAATTTGTAATCTCATATTAATAGGAGTTAGAATTCCATATCCTTGGAAGACTTTGAGTTAACAGACTTGTTTCCTGCTGCATGAAATTGCAAATTCCTTCTATGATACTCTTCACCTGTAGTAATTATAACTAAAATCTTCATGCTTAGTTTAGTAAATATGAATGAACTTTTTGACTGCTTTTGCATACGAACTAGTTAATCTTCATTTATATAAAATTTAAGAATAAATAAAGTTTGGTCTATGTTATATATATCCAAATAAAAAAAGGTACGTAATATATTATATTGATATGGAAACACTTAATACTCTTTTATGTTCACTTTCTAAATTATTTTGTGTTTGTGTAGAAGAATATTTTGACTATTGAAATGAAATGTGATTTGAAAACGATAATAAAAATATTGTATAATTTGGAAAACATGATTTTATTGTTTTAAAATGCATACTATATTTTCAGTATCATTTCCCAAACCATGTTCTCATTTTCATCAACCATACAAATTTTTCTATACAAACATAGGTAAATTTTGACAAAACGTCAGAGTTTTCTATAACTAAAGAGGGCCTTAGTTTCTTATTGCTCTAATTTGAATGTACAATTAGTGAACATTGAGCATTCTGTAATATCACTGATTGAGCATTTTGTAAGTTACAAATTGGAAGTCATCATCTTGTTTCTCCTTACATTCTCCCTCTACCGTATTGCAGAAGAGGATGACGAGGAAAGTGATTAATCCAGTATTAGAGTTCAAGATGTCCAAGAACAAGATGTTTGGGGCAGTTAGAAAAAATAGATGTATTATTATTTTTATTTTAGATAAATTTCTTTTTGTTATTCTAATATGTGGAGTTGGTGAGGGATCCAGGATCTATCTCTGCTTGGGCTTGTCATTGGTATGATGATCCATGAACAGAGATTCGTAGAATTGTGCAGTATTAGTTTGATCCAAAAGGTGTGTTCTAAGTTTAAGACATTTTTCAGTTGTAAATATGCTGATGGCTTGTGAAAACAGTCAGAACTGTTCATGTTGACCATCGTTAATTTCTTTTTCGACTCACATTATTTACCCTGATTGATGGATCTGAGGTCTATTTTTAAGAGGAAGCTAAATCTATTCGAACCTCCTGAATGGATCCCCATCCAACTTTGTGGTTGTCTCATATGAATCAGGCAGTTTGTGTCAACTAGCCAGAGGTTTTGATTGAACGGTGGAAATTTCTGCCACTTTTCTTGGTAGGTAATGCTGGAATTGGGTAATCTCGAAGGTCTTGCCTCGATTTTGATGTGGTTTTTTCCTTGTTTTGCAGAATGTAGTAGAAACCAAATACTAACATGATTGAGAAAATTATTGTGTGAAGATGTTATTTTTTAGATCTAAAACTGGAATTTTTCATATACTCCCAATACCACAGGTGCTATTTCTGAAGCAGCCTGTTCTGTCGAGAGTCATTCAGTTGAGCATCCATTCAGTAAGTGATGCCACTGGCTACTAGTGTTCTGTTGCCCTCGTAGTTATCAGATATTCAGAGAAGCTAATGGCAGTATCTATAAATGGTTTAATATGGTTTGATCAATAACTTCGCCTCATAATAGAGCCAAGATCTGTTTAGCCCGATGGTAGAATATTGAAATTCAATGTCCAAAACGATTGGTATATTTGTCGGGGGGGATTTTGTTGTGTTTTAAATTTATAGGACAAATCATGAAACTTTTAGGTTGTTTAATGTTCAAAAAATATTTTGTTAAATTACTTTTTTATGAGGTTTAAACTTTGATTCATATAATTTAGGTTTTTTTTTTTTTTTTATTAAGAAAAATATATACAAAAATGTTGGCCAAAAGATCTTAACATTTTCTTTTCCTATTAGAAGTACGAAGATGATCAGGAGACAATTAAGGCCCCCTAAAATGAAATTGTTATTATCATTAGAATCAGCTCTTATAATATTTGGGGAAAAAAAAAATTTCAGGGAGAATATAAATGTTATTCTGACTTTGTAATAATGCATACAAAAGGTCAAGGATTTTAAGGAGGCTTAATCTACCAATAACTAAGTATTGACTTATAAATTAAGTTTCAAATTTTAATTCTTTTAAGAGATTCAAAAAGTTTTTTCGTGAATTTTCTAGACTTTTAAAGTATTAAATCTTCTCAAATTTCCAGTTTAGAAGTTGAACAAATGAACTTAACTGGATCCTAAGATGCATAATTTACTCTATATTCTCTATTATATGTTAATACGCTATCATATATATTAAAATTTTCAAAAATAAACTCTAAAACAGTGTCTTAATGTGATAGTACCATAACAGGCAACACGTTAATTTTCATAATGTATTACGAAGGGGAGACAAAAAAAAAAAAAAAAGGAACGCTCTTCACTTGCAGATCAGGGAACAAGTAGGAAATTCACTGGTTTTTACAGGGAAAAGTCCTTTTCTGAAGAAACAAGTACAATTTTTTGGTCTGACAAAAATAAAAATAATTTCGTTAAAACTGTCTTCTAAAAGAAAACATCCAGTATACACCTATTACTTTTTTAATGAAAGATAAAAAATATTTTTTGAGTTTTACAGTCCTCGGATGTATTTTAAGGGGTGTAGCATTAAAGCACCCTTGGTAACACCAATCATGGTGGTAATACATTGTTTTGATACAGCCCAGAAATGTTGGTCCATGTAAGGGCATAAGAATGCAATGATCTTCAACCTTAAACAATAGAATCAGCCTTCTCAAGCTCCAGATTCAGAGGTATACCTTCCGGTCAGAGACAATAACTATTAACCTAAAAGTTGGCTTAGTGAAATGGACTCTCCATCAGAAGATAATGATTCAATAGATTGCCTCGGGGAATAAACTGAGGCTTAGTATGACGGTAACTTGATCTAATTTTCTGTAAACTGTAGGATCATGAACCAGTATTTTCTCTCTCCAAGAGAATACGCCTTACTTCATTAGCGAGATCTATAACATGTTTATCTTTACATCCTGTAGGGTTAAAAAAAAAAAAAAGAGAAAATCTGCTAGAAGCACAGTGTTGCAATGATTTACAGCAAACAAGCTGAGTTCTCAAGGATGCGTACCCGATTGAACGAGAGCCTTTTCAAGTTGGAAAAGGTAGTCTCTGTTGGGTCCAGAGGGGCCTTCGGCGTTAACAATTTGACTGCAGAAATGGGAAAAAGAAAAGGAGAAAACTAGTTATTCATAGCCAGGCCTTAAACCCAGTAGGAACTAAGGTGCACTATAATGCAGGAGCACCCATTTAGCAATCTGCAATCAGACGGGAGAACAAGGTCACCTCCTGACAAAATTTCATAGCAATGTCATCTGAACTTATATTTATTAAACATAAAAATACAGATGTTTCAAGGAGCAGAGCAGATAAAACCGTTAGAAATTTATTATAAGTTATGGACTGTAGAGACCTTTCTCTTCTGCAGTGCGGTCAGTGACAATTGTAGTATTAGGTCTTAATTTATGAGCCTGTGGCTCAAAATACATCTAGAGGTGAAGTTTCATATTCATGAAGAATTTGTCATTCAAATGAGTGACATTCTCAACCGACAGCTAAACTGCACATATAGACGAAACATACTTGGCAATATCTTCAAGAGATGCTGGCCCTAGATAATTTTTGTTGAGCTTCTTGTCAGGAGATGCTATGTATCTGCAAATGGTGTCAATGTGGTTCTAGTTAACTCTAGGAAATACAGAGTACATAGACATAGTAGGCCATGGCTGCTTCTACCACTTACACCATGACTCCTGAAATTGCTGGAGTTGATGCATTAGGCTCCTGAAATATTTATTAGTAGTCATTATATGACTGATAAAAGCCTAGCATCCATAACTGAAGTCTTAGCACTCAGAACTCACAGTGAAGAAGTCAAGATAAGCCTTTTTGTCATACTGTTTTTCTCTCACTTCTAAATACTGCCATAAAAGACAAAGAAAGTGAAAGAAATAAATCAACAATTGAATCAGAAAATAATAAAATGTGGTTGAAACAAACAGATTCACAACCAAAATTGGAATAACAAGGGTAATTCTAGAAATTCTGGATGATAAAAGTACAAGGTACGTCAGTGTTCTAGAAGGATTAAGTGCTCACAACTTGTATCGACATTCATTCTTATGAAAGAAAAACCAAAATACAGAAGGAAGGGTCTGGCAAGCTTATAAGGATAAATGTACTTTCTGACAGAAGAGGTCTAATACGAAAAAATAAGCTCATCTTTGCCTTTTCGATGCCACCATTTTTTTATGCGTCTAGACATATTCATGCTTGATAATTTAGCTAAATTATGGGTATGTGTCTTATATCATGATCATGTGTAACTAAAACAGGATTCAGTGAGATGACAAGAAGTTTCCAGGAGGCCTTTAACATGAAGAAAACACACTGAAATAGCCAAAAAATAATGAGCAACCTCACATACACTGGAAGCATAAAAGGTACAACACAACTACAAGAAATCAAAAAGAAGAAAAGAAAAAGCTACAGCAGAGAGCAGGAGTAAACTAACAGCCTAAGTTTGAAGTAAAAAGGCATACAGAAAACAATACCGTGAATGCAGTTTCTTTATCTTCCTTCTTAGAAATCTTGTAGGCAGCTCCCCACTGTGACCTTGCAACATCAAGGAACAATCTACTTCAGATATTGAGTCTCATTTGATAATCTTGCATCCATATTGAGAAAACAGATTTTATGCATATTGACAATGTAGTTCTGTTGTGGTAGGGTAAAGCTTAAAAATCATGTGTTGTTGAAGGAAAGCAGCTGCATTTTATTTTTAGACAATCTATTCCTGATCTATGCCTGTTTTTCTTAAAATTCAAATAGAAGTATTAGTATTGAGAATCTTCTATTTCCACCATTAGATATGTAAATATGTAAATCATGTAATTTCCACAACCTAGACATTTTTCCTCCCTTCAAATATATTTCCTCTGCAACAATGTTATGGATGTAAATACCCAGAATCATGACATGATAATTGAGGATTTCAGCTATGTTTCGCGGGCAAGAATTCATTTCAGAACAGGAGATATCGACAATAACGCTTCTGACTCCTCAAAAACTCTAAAAAAAAGAGGCATAATTCTGATACTTGGACCAAAAAGGGAAGGAACATAATCTCCCGCTACAATACCTTGATTATGGCGGGTAAATTAAGAATAACACTGATATTACGACCTAAAAATCATCTCTCTCCCAATCAGATATCCACATGAATCCATAAATTATCGAACTGCAAGTAGCAGTCAATCAATCACGAGCCAATTATTTCCTTGTCATGAAACCCACCAATTAAAATCAATTCTGTCGTCGGTTATCATAAGAACCCATAAATTAGAAGCCAATTCTTTCCTCCATTACTAATTGCTAGAATATTTTGTTGAATGTTTGAACCTCCACTGTAATTGCTAAGTAACTCTGATAGTTTCAGAACTCATAACCATACACTTACTCCTTGCGTATTCTCATTCTTATCATTATATTAGACGTATTTAAACGAAAGTGAAAGCAAGAAAGAAAGAGCACATACACAGACTTCCCCATCTGCAGGAATCAATGTGACTGTTCTTCCTGGATAATCGATTGTTCCTCTGTGATCGGTGCTTCCTACATCAACACCATTTAATGATTCATAAATAATGAGTCCATACGTATCCAGACATTCCAAGAAAAGGAGAGAAGGAGATAGAACCTTGATAGAAGACACGGCGGTACCCCTTGATGAAACCAACGAGGCGCTCATCGTAGTTGAAACCGGCTTTCCATATAAGAGAACCATATCCAAACACCCACATAACCATTTCCCTCTCTTCCTCTGGCCTTCTCGGCTTTTTCTCTGTTTCGCGGTAGAAGGTGCAGAGAGAGAGAGAGAATCGGAGGAGACCGGGCCAATTGGAGAAGAGAGAAGAAAAATGATCCTACTGGTCTTTTACTGTATGAATCTGACGGCGGGGAGAGATGTTAGAGTACATTCACTTTTATGCTACTAACCAATTGCGTCCAATCAGATATCTCCGTGGTGATTAAAAAAAAAAAAAGAAAGAAAGATACTTGTAATTGACTGGGACACAATTCTTGTGGGGTCCGCCGGAAATATTCCTGTCTGAATATTTTAGAAATTAGCATTTACGAGTTTATAGTTTTATTGTATTAAATTAAATTATTATTTCATACAAAATTTGTCCAATAAAAAAAAAAAAAGCCAAATGACCCAATGGAAACTCCTACAAAATCATCATATGAGTTATTTGGCAAATTTAAATTTCTATATATTCACTATATGATATAAATAAATTCATTCATATTCATAAAGTTCAAAAAAAAAAATTGTATAGTTTGAAAATGAACTTTGATTTATAAAAAAAAAAAAAATTATTTTGACTAATATATTCAAAAATACAACTATACACAATATAAAATTTACATTTAGTAGCAAAATTGATTGCAAAAAAAGAAAAAAAAAAGATAATTTCTATTTATAAATAATAAAATTTCTTCAATTCTCAATTGATTTAGAATATCTTTTACATATAAAAAGGGTGGTTCACAAAAAATGTCATCTACCTTCTACAATTGCTTGCTTAAATAATTTTTAACGTGACTTAATCTTAATAATTATATTTTACACCAAACTCATTTAATTTAATCGATTTAAATTTAGATTAAGTAAATAAAGAGTTAAGTTGGGGCGAGTTCAAATTTAGTATTTCAAAACTCGTGCGAATCTAATTTGTTATACATATATTTTAAATATATTTATCTTTTATATTAATAAATATAATTAATATATATTTAATTTTAATTTCGTTACTAATAAATATAATAAATCTCTTGAGTTGGGTTTGGGTCGAATAACTCATAGACTCAACATAGTTTAAAAAATTATGAGTTTGAATTTATTCTTCAAGTTGAATTTGAATATAATACAATTCGTTGTAAATCTATCATGTTGTCATCTCTACTTAAATTAGTGAGTATATGATATTTTAAGAAAAATAATCCGTACTTATTATAACTTCTTGCATTCAACTATATATTTCAAAAAATTTAACAAGTTTGATTCTGTTTTGTTTTCAATAAAGAACTAATTGTTGTTTAAAAACTTGATCAAACCCAACATTCGATGAAATTTTTTGAGATCTATTCCCTCGTAGATGAATAATTTCAAACATTTATCATTTGCAATTGGAAACAATGAATTTAATGGTTATTTAACACACAAAGTATACGTTGGAGGATTTCTTGAACAACTTGCTGCAAAGAACAAATTTGGTGTACATCTAATAGGCCCAATTTCAAGAAGATTGAGAAGAAACATGAGCTTGAATAGAGTTAGGCTAGAGAAAAAGCGACTTATAGGGAATATATCACATGGGTTTTGGCATATACCGCAATTTGAACTATGTTGAGTTGATATTCTATTTACCCTTATTCGCTTATATACTTTGCACAACCGAGGGTGGTACGGGATGCAATCCCATATCGAACAAGTAAAGAACTTGAGATCAAATGCTATTTCTGCTTTTGATGGGAAATTTCACAGATACAAAAAGATGCCTCCAATTTTATGAAACTTACAAAAAAATATAAGTAAAACAAAAAAAAAAAAAAAAGGACAGAGGCTTATACAGAATAATAGCTTCCACTCCAACATTGTAGCATAAATTTTCAGAAAATATATATATATTTTTTTTGGGTCTTTGAAAAATTATAGCTCCTAAGTTGAAACAGTCTTGTTCTTCAATTCATAAGCGGTTTCATGGGAGGTGTCGTTGATTTGTTTGACAGGATCTGTGATGGGCAATTCTGGGGTTCCACCTTTTTCATCCTCATCAATGATTATCGCAGAGCTCTTATTGTCTTTGCTCTTTCCCCAAACGACAGCGTATAGGCCAATAACTATGAAAATGGTTCCAACCACACTGCCATTTCATCACAACACCAACAATCAATCCTCTTTTTAAAACGTTTGAATATATATATATATATATATATATTGGATATTGAATTATGATATAATATAATAATGAATATATATATATATATAAGTACCTTCCAAGGTGGATTCTTTCAGATAAAAGAATAACACCCAGAGCTGCAGTGATGATTACACAGAGAGGATTGAAGGTTGCTACAAATACCGGCCCTCGATTCTTCATCACCACGCCTTGCACATAATATGCGATTCCAGAGCACACCACTCCCTGCTTAATCAAAATTAATTATATTAATCACGATTTAATAATAATAATAATAATAATAATTAATTACTCTTTTTCAAATTAATCTGCCACTCACAGAGTAAGCAGCGGCAAAGAGCTTGGAGTCCCATCCAATTTTCCAGGCGCTCATGTTACGTTCCATGACAAGTGACACAGCCGCACCTTCCACCGTTCCCATTAGGCATATTAGTACTGTCAAAGACAACTCTGCTGGGTACTTCTTCAACGTAAATGACTGGTCACAGACCACAATTTAATTAACATAATTATCATTTAATTACTCATAATTATCATTAATTGATTAAGTTGTGCACTAATTACTCACTTGCAAAATGAGGAATCCTGACCAACCAACAGTCCTACCAAGAAGCATAAGGGTGCCAGCGATCCAATGCTTGTTGACAGCGTTGACGGGGCCTCCGTGATTGGTTGATCCGCCGCTGTTTATGAATTGAAGGATGGGTCCTTTGTATAAAGTCATGAGCAACGCTCCTGTTACCGTGATTACCGTTCCGATCACCTTGGCCTGGCTATATATGTTCTTCATATTAACCTTCTCTAACCTGCAGATTACATTAATTAAGTAATCAGTTAGATACAAATTTTGATCAAGTATGTGATTATCAGATCAGGATGATGGAGAACAAGAGAGAGGCATCTGGTGATAAGGTGGCATGATGGGACTGCTGGCACTAGCTGGTAAGTACGTGCTAATTCTTGCACTAAAAGAGTTGGAGATGAGAGGATGAGATAGTTTAATAATAATTAAATGTATTTTTAATTTAATTGAAAAAATATATTATATCCATATACGTATATATATATATATATATATATGTAGGTATGTACCTGAAAGTAATGGCCAGTATGAAAGTTATGGCAGGAAGAACATTGGCTGTGGCGGAGGCAAATGTTGCGGACGTGTATGTCATGCCTATGTAGTACAGGTTTTGGTCCAGCACTGGCCTGCAAAATCATTAACCCACAATAATTCACTGTTAATTTATGGAAAATTAATAGATTATAATCAATTATGATGCATATGCGTATGAACAATTAGGAATATTCATGGAAAACAAATTACTTCTAATTAATATTTTTACTCTTAATTAATATATTAAGAACTTCAATTGGTATGATCACTTACCCATATTATGTTCATACGTTCATAGTATATATATATATATACATACACGTACATATATGTATATAGTCTCTCAGACCATGCATGTTATATTGTTAAACCAATACTGAATTTAGTCCTCATGTAATCATACAAATATATGTACATATATATCAAGTGTTACTTCTTCCATGTCTAAATCCAATATTTTTTTCAGAATGCACAGGTATGTATGTGTATATGTATATATAATATATATAATTATACTGATATATATGTGTACATTTCGTCTTACACAACAACAACAAATATCGCTGGGAAGAAATTTAAGATAATTATCAATTTGGAACGCTGAAAGTTATTGATTATGTAAAACCTAAAACTCATATATACATACATATGTTGTCCATGTAGGAGATTAGAATATGCTCGTGCATGTTGCATGGTATGTTACATAGATAAAGATGGGGTGTAAGTAATATGGCATGCATACTCGATAAAACCAAGCAACATTATTCTTAGGAAGATGGGGAACGTCATCTTCGGTCTTATTTTCCTGCAATAAAAACCAAGCAAGCACCAGTAAGTTTAAATATCCTTAATTATAAACATAAGAAATACATAAATATATGTGTGTATATCGTATACATGTTAGATAGATAAGAATGGAAGAGGCGAATGGAGAAAAGGTAGATGGATGAGAGACCTCTCAAGAATTAAAGCGAAAGGTGCCATGACAAGGGCGGCAATGGCATGACGATACACAGCAAGTATGTAATGGTTCATGCCCCGGTTCAAAGACACCAAGGTGATTATATACATCCCTGCGTATCCAAACTGCATTGACACCATTGCCAGGTATGGCGTCATCTTTTTCAGGATTAAAGGCACCGTATTGAACATCCTTTCTCTTTCTTTTTGTTTTGTACGAGTTTCAGAGGCGGTACACGCTGCTCATGTACTTGTTGTGGGTATGACAAGGAGAGGAGATGCAGGGTGGTTTTTATAGGAGGAAATTATTACACACCCCATTATTCTACATATATATTATATATATATATATATATTAAAATCACACGTCATGCAATTTTTTCTTTGTCTCTCTGATTTAGAAAAATTATTGTATGGGCAAAGATTCTTCTGATCCATTTATGCAATACAAATAGTATTATATGATATTATCCTAATTTCTGTATATTCCAATCAAATAGAATATCCTTACCTGTAGAAAGTTACTCTTAGTATCTCTCTGAATATACTAAAGCTAACTTTTTCTCCCTTCTTTTCTATTTTTTCTTTCTGATTTTTAATTCTTTATATGATGACCTCACATCTCAGATCTGCATATCTATATATATATATATATGTATATATACACACACTCACACACACGAAACATATATAAAGACATATAACATAGATCCCATTATACCCAAAATGAAAAAGATATCTCCATTATCAATTTAATTAGCACATGTAACATGGTTTTGTATATGATTATAATTTTTCACTTAATATGCATGTTCGTCTCTATTAGTTTATATATATATATATATATATAATTTTTTAAAATTTTTTATTTAATTATTTAATAAGTTTCTGGTTTTATTTTTTATTATTATACATATTTTATTCTTTTATATCGCATATATAATATATATTTGTCTTAGCTTCTAAATACGGATATATAAAAAATTAAAATGTAATAAATTAAAATTGAAATACTACGTATTATAAGATGATAAATAATTTTTTTTTTAAATGATAATTTTAGGTAAAATGAAAACTAATTATCACATGCACCAAACTATTTGCAATATATATATATGTATATATATATATAAGGATAAACAACAAGAGATAAAGCATATTAGTTATGCATTTTTTGGTTGTTCTAATTATTATGTACTATATATAAGACGATATTAATTTGTAATCTATTAGATACGTATGAGTTTGCATAATTGATTGTACTTATGGAATTATTTTAGAATTTTAATTTTTAAAACATAATACAACTTATTTATTTAATTATATGTTCTTAACAGATTAATTTATTCACAAATTTTACAATATGATCTCAAATTAAGACTTTCACCTGCCTTTAGATTTATATTTGATATCTAACTAGCTAGTATCTGTGTAATATATATATATATATATATATATATGTATATAGACTATATAAATTTGACAAAAAAAAGGTTTAACCTAACCTAATCTCCCACCATGAAGTATCTTTGCAACTATTAATCTTTGGGCACGTACGGCATTACATTCTTCCGTAACACCAATTATCCATAAGTTTCGTATTAATTAATATAATAACTTAATTAAGGCTTAATCTTTTTACCAAACTAGCATCACCAAATTTTCTTTCTATAAAAATCTTTTAAAATTTTATAATTGACTTAAACCTAAAATGATGGGTTAGCTTATCAGAAGAGATAAATGATTGATAATTAAGATCTATCAGAATATAAGTAACAGATAATAATATATATATATACATACATATACATATATATAAAGCAAAACCCACGTGACCACTCCCGTTGTGACACGGTTTTTCTAAAAAAATCATTAATCACCAAATTATTCCATACCTCACTTCCATGCAAAGACAAAATAATCCAATATATATTATTGCATAGCATGTCAGGTGCGACCTAATTCAACTTATTTAATATGTACAAAAGAGTGATAATTATAAATACCTATACATACATACATACATACCATACATACATATATATATATATAATAACTACCAGCAAATGGCAATAGGTCTTAGTGCTCCAAGACAATGCTTGCAAATGCATGCGGTGTCGGTGTGGAGCCTCTATTTCTATAGGTGCTATGAAGAGTGGATAGCATTTCTGAAATTAAAAGTTCGATTACCTCACCTTACCATATATGTACATATACGTGTATTTACGTATTTACGTATATGTATATATATACATGTAAGTAATGTAAAAATATTCTTGAACTTGCACATAAATCTTTAATTTGATGATAGGTAAAGAGGCCTTTAGGATTAATTTACGAGAAATTAAATCAAGGTTTAAAAGAATATATCAAAGAAAACCATATACATATATACGCTTGTATCAGACATATACCCTATCTACTTGATACGTTCATATATATATATATATATACACACACACACACACACACATCATATACCTAGCTGATTAGATAGTATTGGTTTAGCATGTGATGATGAGCATCTTAAAAAACTCTAGTTGCCTATAAAGCATATATCTGAAAGAAGAAGAGCTGTAAAGATCAAAGAAAGCATATGCTTATTGTTCTTCGCTTGGTAGCTGAATAATTTTTTAGGTATATTTCTTACTGACATGCTGATTCATGTGAAGCGGAGAATAGTGATTTCTAACCGTACTAAAGCAAATGTACTGAAAATTAGTATATTTTTTAATGGGGACATAAATTTTAGGAGCATCAATGGCTGCCATTTCTGACCTTATATGCACAGTTCACGTACATTAATATTATATTAATATTACAACGAATGATGAACATCATGCGTTAGGTTCGGGTCATGGGTCATAAATAATTTGCAGTTAAAATATTGGATAACATTGGATAACTCTAAACGAATAATGCTGAAACTTTACTAAAAAAGATATAAGAGACATATAATAAGATTGCCATAATCACATGTATGTATCCACGTATATATATATATATATGTATGCATACTTTTGCTTTTGGACATTGGTATATATATATATACACACACACACACACACACACACACACACATATGTTAGTACTAGAAAAAAAGTAGGAAATGTATATAATAATATTTTGGGCAAATGAGTGTTAAAATACATGGGTAGGCAACTAAAGTTGGTGCTTTCGTGTTTGGATTCCAATTTCTAAAAACTTAAGTTAGTGAAGCACCTCGTAAAAATTAATGGGTAGCTAACTTTTTTAATCATGTATGGCAAGTAAACTTTATCATAGTAGGTAAGCAGCCATGAAAACGTCATTTTTCCCTTGATGTTTAACTAATTATTGTATGATTAGATATATTATATCATTGATATGCATATATATATATATATATAGAGAGAGAGAGAGAGAGAGAGAGAGAGAGAGAAGTGTATGATAGGTACAGAATTAAGATGAAAAGATGCGGTTAAGAATTATCTTCCCACTAGAGGGGAAATATTAAAGCAAATGATAACAAGAGAAACATAATAAGATAGTGAATATATAATTCTTCTCCTGCATATTTATGGATTGAATGACAGCAACTGAGAGAGCTTTTTTGTATGATCCACATCACAATTTCCCGTTTCTTCATTATCGTGCTTTACAGCACATCAACAGGAATGACCAATCTTTCTCTCTCGTTCTATGTGTCTCACCTCATCATAATTATTTGTTCTAAAGAAACTCATACAATTGCGGAAAATCTTCATCCACATATTTGTAAATTATGCCTAAAACACTATATATGCATACGCATATATCTGGTTTCTTTAAAGTTTAAAACCCACTTCCATTTTCTCCCATTTCTATTTTATTCAATGCCCAGAACCTAATCCAGTTCGACCCCTCAATTTTAGCCCAAATATAAATAAATAGAGCACACCTTAATTGAAACCCAACCCAAATACAAGTCTTACAACACGCAAACACAGACCGTTCCTTACGAAGCCCGATTCCGGCCCAACAGAACGCATAAATCTAGCTCAGCCCATTCACTTACTCTCCTCGGGGACGACACCATTTTTTGGGGAAGGGTGAAAATCTCTTTTTTGATCCACCTTCGAAATGAAAGTAGAGAGCAAGGAGAAGGGCTTGGCAGGGTAGCAGGGCCGCTACTTGGCAGAAATCCATTGGAGAAAGCTCCAAATTCGAGCTGGAGTCGGGCGAAAGCTCACGAAGAATCGACCATTTATTAGCCGGAGTTTTTCGGAGAACTTTAATGCCGTCCTCTTTGTGTTCAAATTTTAGAAGGATTGAAACAAAAAGAAGAAGAGATGGTTACCCATTTCAACTAAATGCATATCACCATATGGGTTGCGGGGGAAATTGATAATTTAAACCGAATAAGTTGAAATTCGTGATTCGTCTGTCTAATCAGTTTGACTATGATGATCGGATTCATGGATGTCAGTCTCTTTAATCTCTCCTCATCACTACCAGCTTCACAGGCAGGGGAAATGCTCCCCCCCCCCCCCCCCCCCCTTTTTTTTTTTAATCTCGAATTAGGGAATTTCTAAAAGATCCAGTACTTAGTTCGATCCATGGACTCTCATCAAGAATGCTTGGATATCAAAAGATGTCGGCCCATTTACTTTCTTATTCTTGTTCATACTTTTGTTTAGTAGATTACATTTTCTCTCAGAGAATTTTCTCCCAGCTTCCATCGCCGACGTTATACGTCCTTCTTGAGTTTTTGTTTTTTTTTATAAAGAAAATTTAATTTTAGTAATGAAATACAATTAATCTCTTGTCTTGTTAAGACTTAACTGGGTCTTATTTCATGCAGAAACTGACCCAAGGGACCAAGACAAGCTAGTTTCAGAATTTGAAACAGGAGCACTGTAAACGAAAGTAAAATTGGTGATTTACTTCAATTACTTGCATTGAAATCTCAACAGTAAAAAGTAAAAGTAACAAGGTAAATACATATGTTTGAATATCATCTTACCTTGAAACAAAAAAAGAAAAAGAAAAATTAGGAAAATATAGATAGCAGGCAGCCCTGATTACAAAAGATGAGAGATGAGAGAGAGAGATGTTATGTTGTCGCCGGAGTGATGTTGTTGTTGTTGGCGTCGTTGGTCTTTTCGTAATTACTCGTTACCGGCAATTCTTGATCGCCAAATTTATTCGTATCTTCGTTTCGACGGTCTTTGATTTTACCCCACACCACCGTGTACAGTCCCAACACTATAAATACCGCTCCGATTATGCTGATCGGGTCCATTACATTAATACCATCATTAGTTAGTTAATTAGTCAATTAATTAATTAATTAATTAAACCCATCATTAGTAATTAATTTAATTACCTGCCAAGGTGGATTTTCTCGGCTAACACAATGGCTCCAAGAGCTGCAGTGATGATCATGCAAAGAGGACTAAATGATGTTACAAACACCGGTCCCCTCTGCCTGTTTAAAACTCCTTGCACGTAATATGCCATTCCAGAGCACACCACCCCCTATATTATTCACTTTTAATAATTAAATTATATACGTGCACATATATAGATATAATTTTACGACAGAATATATTGTGATAGCCATATATATATATGTACTACTCAAGTGAAAAGGAATCATTACTTAACAGTGCATCAACTTGTTTACAATATATACACTTGATATTATTAGATGCTCAGTTTGGTTATGTACATATTTTGGAATCTAACAAAAAAGTAGTTATACCCATTGTAAGTATCGAATATTGTGTCTATACATATATATATATATATGTATATAGAAATATATACGTACGGAGTAAGCTGCAGCAAGAAGCCTGGAGTCAAAACCAATTATCCAGACACTCATGTCACGTTCCATAATAAGGGAGACAATCGCACCTTCCACCATGCCCATCAGGCAAATCCATGCTGCAAGAGACAGCTCCGCCGGATACATCTTCAACGTAAATGACTGATCACAAATTACCCATTCAAGAATCAAAATTATTAATCACTCCAGTAATTCAATATTATCGTTAATTAAAAAATTTTAAAAATGTATAATTACCTGCAAAATGAAGTAGCCAGCCCAGCTACAGCAACTGGCTAGGAGCATGAGAGTTCCGGTGACCCAATGCTGGTCGGAGGATCCATCGGAGGTGGTGGTGGCGGCGGCTGCATGGTGGCTGACTCCACCGGACTTGAAGAACTCAACGATGGGTCCTCTGTATAATGTCATGATCATTGCTCCACCTACCGTGATTCCTGTTCCTATCACTTTTGCTACACTGTGCACCTTCTTCAAATTAACTCTTTCCAACCTAATCATCAACATTTTCAAATTTTTTTTCTTCAATTGTTAAAAAAATTTAACCTTAATATTGTAAATTAACTCAGTAAAATTAGAATAGTAAAAAGTAAAACGTAATTTTATCTTCACCAAAGCTAATGACCCGATTAGTCATTAAAAAAAAGTTGATGAGTTTTTTTTATTCGCATAGACATTAAAATTATTCAATACCTGAAAATAACAGCCATTATGAAAGTAACGGCGGGAAGGACATTGGCAGAAGCTGAAGCAAACGTCGCTGAAGTGGCCTTCATCCCCATATAATATAAGTTCTGGTCTAGCACTGGCCTGCTCCATAATAACCACACTAATTAAATATATAACCAAATTTTATTTATAAAATCAATTTCTTGCTGACGAACTAATTTAACTTAAAAAAACGTAGTGTGTGTGTATATATATATATTTCAGTTTGGTGAAATAATTAATCAACTGAAGTTGAATATTTAAAGGTGGGAAGAGTAGAGGATTACTCGAGGAAACCGAGTGCAATAATTCTAAGAAAAACAGGAAGGGTCATCTTCGGCCTGATTTTTCTGTAACAAAAGTTAAGAACACAAGATTCATTAAGTAAGCGAGAGGTATAATTTTGGGTGAAGAATGAAAAATTATGAACCGATGAAAAAAAAAAAGAAGACCTTTCGAGAAAAAAAGCAAAGGGAGCAACGACGAGGGTAGCAACAACATGACGATAGGTGGCGAGAATAAAATGGCTCATTCCGTGCTTCAAAGAAACCATGCTAATTACATACATCCCTGCAAATCCAAATTGCAGAGACAAAATAGCCAAGTAGGGCTTAATTTTGTTTAATCTCCTCAACAACATTTCACTTCCCTTTACTTCTCCCATGTCCTTCTACTTTCTTTCTAATTTTGCAAGGAAGCTACTAGCTTACACTTCTCTCTCTCTTTGGCTGCTGCAGATAACTAGAATGGAGATATGGTCTATTTATATATCCCATTAAAAGCAAAACACAGAGCCACCCACTATTTCTCACACTTTCCACACACCATATGTCCAAAAAAACAATTATTACCCATATTAATTAACTTAAATATCTCTTAAAATACTCTAATTCTTTTTATACCTGTTTTATTTTCAACATGGTTGAATTTAAGATATAGTTTTTTTGTTTTTCAGATACAATATAATTTTTTTAAGTAAAAATTTATATATTTTATTAATTAAATTATATATATATATACATTAATTATAATATAATTTTATAATAAAAATATACTCGTAATCTTTTATAAATAAAATGAGATATCATCTATCACGTCAATAAATGATTGACAATACACAACACAATTAAGATCTATGAATAAAGTTACAAAGGAATTAAGAATAAATTTAAAATATTCTTGCCACAAAATAAGTTACTTGAAATACTCTTGCCATGAAAGTTACAAGACTGATAATAAACTATATATGTATTTAGATATAATATTTTTATTATATAGTAAGATACATTGATTTCAAACTTTATTCACTAACCCATCTAAAATTATATTATATTCTATATATGCGTGTGTGTGTATCGAGGCCATATATTCTATTTCTAGTGTAGGCTTCTGTTAACTAGGATGAAATGAATAGATTCCCCTCATCTCTTAGTTTTCCATCAGGATGATGACTTCCTAAATTTATTTTGAGATTCTTTATCCATTAACAGCCCCATATTCCAACAAGCTGCCTAGAATCTTTCACTTTGCTGGAAGTTAATTTGCGGGATTATCATCGTTAAACAGAAGTTAATTTGTGTTAATTAATTCCATCTGTCTCCATCCACATACGATTAAATTAATCACACTCTCTTTTTATTTCTTAATTAATTTATTTAGTTAAATTAAAGATTATTAAATATGGGAATTTAAGTGGAGGGGAGGGGGGATTTGATTTATTGACCACCAAATCGTATTAAAGATTAATGCTCGAGGATGACGACATATGGTGGTATCAAGAGTTGGATACCATTAATTAAATCACATGGTTGCTTAATTGCTATCAATTTGATTCTACACTCCCCTTTAATATATTCTGATCTTAATTAATCCAATTACCAAATCAGATTAGTGCAGTGATGTTAATCCTTAAGTAAGTTCTTCAAGCAACTTACGAGTTGTACGATTTGTGTCACTCACTATATTTATGTGCTATTGCTTGCCCAATATATATACGCTTCTCTCAGTTGTTATTGTCATAATAAAAGTATAACTAGTTAGTTGTTCTACTTGTAAAACTTTCTTCTAGAGTGCTCGTTGATAATATGTAATAATTTAGATCGACAAAGTAATATAAAACAAATATTTTATTGGGTATATATATATACGTATAGTCATAGACGTAAGCAGATGTAAAATCTACTAATTTGAAACGTTAATTTTGACAAAAATTGGAAGTGGACCACTAAAATTATATGCATCAACGAAAATCACTGATGAACAGATACTCTACATATGCAATAATTCTTTGTGACGACGTGTGAATTAATGTAACAATTTTTGAATAATCTGAAGTTATTTTCAAAGAAATATATATATTAATTCTATCAGAATATATATATATATATATATATATATATATATATGTATGTGTGTGTGAGTGTATAATTGAAGATGAGTATAAAAACAGATGGGGAGACAATTAAAAAAGTTGGTGGTTTCGTGTTCGGATTCCAACAAAAAGAAAAATAAGGGTAGTGGAATACCACCTTACAAATCGGAAGCAATGTATAGATATGGAAAGCTAATAATTATAGTAGGTAGGCAACCATTAATATTTTAAAATTTAATAATAATAATAATAATTTAATTAAAATAAAAAACTTAATAATATACAAGGTTGTGATTATCTTTGCATGTAAATTACACGTCAAAGAAAATCACCAACGCCCATGCAACGATCTTGATTTCCATACCAATAAATATTTAATTTGGATTAGTTAATTATAAATAATTAATTAATGAATATGTATATATAGAATAATTGGAGGAATCTTTTATTCTCCATCGTCATAAGTGCTTTTTTTTTTTCATGTTAATTTGCATCCAAACAGAGGAGAAAAGTAAAGTTGAAAATGATAGAATATCGCATCACATATGGACAGAGACCGATATTCAGAAAGTTTTCAATCATGTTCTCCATCATTTTTTGTAACCTTATGATACAATATATATATATATATGTATGTATGTATGTATGTATGTATGTACATAATAATTTATTACTTTTCTCAAAAATAATTAATGATATTTTTGTTTAATGTAAAAAACACAGACATCTTGATCCCAACTTTAGTAGCAGACCTACTCAAAATTTTTATTTTTAATCATCAACTTTTACAGTTTGCATTTTAAAGATTTTGAATTTACACATTTTGAATAAATAGTCTTAAAATTTTTTGATGAGGAATAGATGGAAGTTTTTGGAAATCACCAGAACTTGGCCTGGTTGATTAGTGGCGGCCACTTTCACACAACTGGTCCGGTTCCTGTCCGATTTTGGTTAAAAAATTGCCATAATCCAATATATATATATATATAGAGAGAGAGAGAGAGAGAACTGTGTTTTTGGGCTCTACTGTTATACAGTGACCCACCATCTTAAGTCAGCAATGCCCGCCAGGTGTTCTCATAGTGGAAAACAAAGCTAGATTCTATGTTGGCTTCACACACCTGAACTGATTATATACATGTATGTGGGTGTATATATATATATATATGCATTTATCTTTCCTATTTCACATTCCAACATGGTTTTTCACATATATTTATTTTTTTAATATATAGGAAAACCCATGTTGGAATTGCATTATTATTCACCGACAATCCATTTTCTGTGGACTTGCAAGTACTTGATTAAGTTCCTTGATGGAAAATACGAACTGAACGAAATATTGAGCTCATGTGGACGATAGTTTAAGCGTTTCCATTAATTTTCTCATAATATAAATTTCAAGAAAAATTAATATATATATATATATATATGGATACATGTTGATGTATTTGACGCGATTATAAAAACCATGCAATAAAATACATATACACATACAAATGCAGATACATATTTGTTTCACTTCCAAATCATCAAGGAGTTGATGGTGCCTTAGTAGTCGTAACTGGTAATTCTTGCTGTTGGGGATGATCAATGGCAGAACCCTTCGTAGGGGAAGAGTAATCTTTGTTTTTACCCCAAACGACGCAGTATAGACCCATTGCTATTATCACTCCTCCAATCACACTGCAATAAGTCATTATTAAAATTAACCATCAAATTAATAGTACTTATAATCATTTCTTACTTGTGAGTTAAAGAATAATCCAAGATTAGTTCCTAATTTTAAACAAATACCTTCCGAAGTAAACTTGTTCGGCTAGGATAACAGAAGCGAGTGCAGCTACGATGATCATGCAAAGAGGGTTAAATGCTGTTGCGAACACCGGCCCTCTCGTCTTCATCACGACTCCTTGTACATAGTACGTAATTCCCGAACTCACTATTCCCTTTTTTGTAAAAACTTATAATTTAAGTTCGAGATAGTAATAATAATAATTTGTTATATATAAAAAGAAAGAATGGTGAGTAGTTTATAATTACAGTGTATAAGGGTGCAAAAAGCCTGGAATCCCAGCCAACAGCCCATCCGCTAGATCGACGCTCCACAACCACCGCAATGGCTGCACTTTGTAAGGTGCCGGCCAAACATATCAACGATGATAGTGAGATCTCTGCCGGGTACTTGCTAATCGTTATAGACTGGATTAAATTAAGTTAAAACATGTTTAGTTAAGATAGTTTATACGTAATCATAGGATTGATTAAATTAAGTGGTATATGTATAATTACTTGTAAGACGTAGAAACAGGACCATGCAACACAACCCAGAAGAATTAGGAGTGTGCCGGCAACCCAGTTTGTATGGTTGTGAGAAGAGGTGCCGTGAGGGGAGGTGTCTTTTGACCAGGGTAGATTAAGGACAGGGCCTTTGTATAGCGTCATAAGCAAAGCTCCTCCGAATGTTACAAGTGTCCCAATCATCTTCGCTTGACTCCTCACTTCCTTCATCTTTACTCTCTCTAATCTGCTTATTTTCGATTAATTAATTAACTAACTAACATGTTGATTAATTATTAGCAAAATATGTGCAGTGTAATTAATTATGCATGAAGGTACGTGATTACCTAAAAATGACAGCAATTATGAAGGTAATAGAGGGCACAGCGTTCATAATTGCAGATGTAAATGTGGCTGATGTGAATTGCATCCCCAAGTAGCCGAAACCTTGGTCAATGATTGGCCTGCGAATTAATTAATTAATTAACATCTCCTCTAATCACCTTTGCATTTAATTATAATTAACCAATATATACATATATATATAATAATTAATAATTTAAAATGTATATACTTTAAGAATATAATAGATGTGGGGGAGAAGCAATTACTCTAGAAATCCGAGGATCATTATTTGGAAGAAAATTTTCAATGTCATCTTCGGCCTCACTTTCCTGCAAAATTTATCACACATATATATATATATATATAAGATTACGTGTGTTAGTATTAACAAATTATATTATTATTAATCATATTATAATTAACACATTAGTACTATCTAATTAATAAAACATATAAATCTTAATTTAAATATATATATAAGGAACCTTTCGAGAAGAAGAGCGAAAGGAGCAAGTGCGAGTGCAGCAATAGCATTGCGATAGACGATGAGCACGTAGCGGTTCATGCCATGATTGAGAGTGGCCATACTGATTATGAGATTACCAGCAGACCCAAATTGCAGACACACCATAAGTACATACGGCTTAACCTTTTCAAAAATTCCTCTTAAATTTCCCATAGTAATTAATCTCGTACACCTTACACCTTACACCCACTTCAACTGTTTCTCACACTATATATATACACACACACACACACACATATATATATATGCACCCATACCCATGTCTTCCTCTAGATATACTACGTACATATATACATAAACACCCTGAAATAGAAAAAAAAAAAGGTATTTTTATTGATGATATATAAAAATACTTTTAAATATTAATTAGTTAATTCAGGGACCAATTTCTTTTGCTTTCATGAGTGATCTCTATCTGCCTGTTCATTCACAGGACTCTTTCTCTTGTATATTTAATTAGTTTTTATGATTGTTGAGTTGGAGGTGGAAAGCACCTAAGTTCGTATGTGGGATTTTGGAGATGTGGTTGTGGATAGGGATATACATATAGGGGATGAGGATCATGTCATTATACATCATAACTATTAGTGATGTTGGATTCCTTAATTTCACAAATTCACAACTTCATTTAATTAACAACCATAGTTACAAACTTGGTGTATAGAACTGAAAATAATGGTTTAATTTTTTCATCGAACAAAGGTGGAATATGTATACACTTATAATTTTAATTAACGGTGAATCAAATATAATTAATTAATTTATGTAATTTGTTGTCAATAATCTAATTTGTAAATAAAAATACATGCATACATGTAAATACATACATACATACATGTACATATATATATATATATATATATATATAGAAATGTGTCTACTATTTGTACGTAATAAGATTCATTATTGTATCATTTTCGAACAGTTTCCCATACCAATATATCCAAAAGATCTTTCGATCTGTCATCCACATAATGTACAACGCACTTGCATCTCATGATTGGATCTTTTGTTTTTACTTTTCATATCTGATAGAACTGTACTTCAACTGTACAGATATATAATACATATGTATGTGTAAAAGATAATTACATGGGACGAAGAAGACCAGGATTCAGCATTATAATTATTTGAAGTGGTGATATAAAGACGAAGGCCACAGTGGTTAAGTGCTTCCTTGTTCACTTGCCAAGTTAAAGTGAATTCATTCTCATCTCCTGGGATAGTTCTCTATTATTACTCCTTTATATGTATGTATATGTGTGTGTGTGTGTGTGTATATATATATATATATATATATAAAGGTACTGTTCTAAGTAGTATACATCTTCAGAAAAATACGATCATCTCGTTAATTACGACAGGCATATATTCATATATGATTCTTACATATGACTGATGATACACGTACATACATAAATAGTATTTCAACGGGTCAGGAGGTTTATAATTAAACCTATCGTGAATGGGAAAAAATATACATATATGTGTATATATATATGATGGTGGTTGTGGGTTCAATTATTTAGGCATAAATAGAATTAAATGCATCGAGTTTTCAATTTAAAATTCTGCCATGGAAGAAAAGCAACAGTCCATGCATAATGCCGTGTATCGTTGATTCATATTCAGCATGCATATATAAATATATAAATATATAAATATGTGTGTGTGTGTGTTTAAAGCAAACCATTGAAATTTCAATTCCTTTACTTTAATTTGTTGTAATTGCTTCAACCACTCGTATCATTATCAAACCCTCCACCACCAATCTTTCTTTTGCTTGACAAATGAATCTTTTTTATTTTGTTCATTACATAATGATTGAAATATTAAAATCAAAAACTAATTATAAATTTTTACTAAAATGTAACGTATTTATATTTTAACACATTTTCTGTTCATAAATACCTTCAAGTACTAAACTAAATCGGGCACTTTAATTTGTGATTTCTAGATTTGTTTTAAACTTTAACATTAAATAAATTTTAGGATTATCTGAAAATTTCAAGTAAAATTATAGAATTGAACTTTTTTTTTCTTCTAATATTGTAATGAAATTAAATAATAAAAATATTAATCCAAACTTTGGTATCATTTTTGTCGAAAGATTCAAGTGAAGAAAGGGTTTACATTTTTTTTAAAAAAAAAAGACAACAATTATCAGTACAAATGACTAGTAAAGCAGCGTCAAAATTAGATTAGATTAGATTAGTGCCAATGAAAATGACAATGAACCCTAGATATAACTTTCTTTAATGGATGAGGAAAGAAGGTAAATAATTTAAAGTAAACCTCTTTCGATTGGAAATCTAATTTACAGTTTAATATTAATCTTAGACAATGTAAATATACACTTCAATTGATACAAATAACGACACAAGTAGGGGTTCTGATAATAAATCAAACGTGTATATGTATGTGTGTACACACACCACAAACACATCGATGTATCTAATCAAATCGAGTAGTATAGACAAATGTTAGATACAAAATCTATATGAAACTTTAATCATTAAGCAAAAGGTTTGTTTAATTAATTAACTATTATCATTAATTATATTATTAGGGTACTGTTATTTTCCAACTTAACCTAAAATCCACTCAGAACTAAAGAGAAATTTGAAAAGCATTAAGTGGGATCATACTATAGCTCGAGAATAATCATATAATAATAAGAGACTTGCGTATAGAACATAGAAGACAATGTGCGAGATATAATTAAAGAGAAGAGAAGATGTATCTTCTTGCTCTAAAGCATGAGGCAATCTAAAGTGGGGGAAATTTTCTTTATGATCATCTATAATAATTTAGTTTCTTTCCTACTCAAAGAAAAAAAGAAACCAGTGTAAAAAGGTGCTTTTCTCTTCATAAAGAAAATGAGGAATTTCAAAAAACTAATCTCAACAAGGCGTGCCCGGCACGTTGGGGTTCCTTGCATTAATCAGTCACATTCCATATTCAGATCATAAAGAATGTGGGGAGCAAATAGTAAACCAAAATTTTGACCAAATATAATTGTGTGTGTGTGTGTGTGTGTGTGTGTGTGTGTGTGTGTGTGTGTGTGTGTGTGTGTGTATGTCAAATAAAGGATATAAATTCTTCAGAAATGAAATCCAATTCCAAATATGGAAGAACTTTAGCCTCTCACTAACGGAAGCTTTTATACAGGGGTAGGGTTGAAGAGAGATTCCTACGACAATTTGATTCCAGTGTCAATCTTAACAAAATGCAGATAATGTAGTGATGGAGATTCAAAATTGGTATTTTAAAGAAAATTTAGTTGAAAAGTAAGTTGCATTCTCTAGAGATTAAATATAAAGGAAAAAAGAATCAAGCTCTCTTTCACGTAGGTGATGGGGCCTAGAATCAATCAATTGGATTCATAACTTTTGACGAACCTCACTTTTCTAAATTAATGCAGGCAGACCTTATATGTGCTAATTTAAGAAAGAAGACAAAAATCACATCAAGTAGTGGTCTACTAATCTCACAACTCATGAATCATTTAACTAAAAGTCACCAAAGCAGGAACAAAATAGAGCTAAGAAAAGCCAGGCTTATCTGAATCACTCGGCAGTGTCAGGTTGGCATGACCACCTTTTTCGTCTCACTTCTTTTGCCCAAGTAAATACATTTACTACCATCAAACCAAAAACAAGTATTAGTAAACAGATGATAAACACGGATAAACTTAGCCATGCATAACATAAAGGAAAAAGGAGTTGATGGACATGGAACCAAAGCAACCCGAGCACAAGTTCTTGTCAATATCCTTTAAACTAATGGACTGGTCAAAGGCAGCAAATGCGTTATGTGTGTGAATATAACATGCCAGCACATAGATCTTCACTTTTTATACAGTGTAAATTGCACTGCATTTGACCCACACAAAATGGAGGAAAGAAACAAAGACAGAGAAGAAATTAAAGGACGCAGAGAGAATAAGTAGTTTTGATGCAACTTAAATTGATTTCAATTTGAATATTACTTTTTTCTTTTCTGCTGGCAAACAAATTATGTTGCAGAAAATGAACTGAAAAGTAAAATGCCTTAGTATATCAAAATTGAAAATTTCTCATAAGATTTACTTGACTATTGCCATATACAATAGAAGATCTCTTCTTGACAAATATATATTGTTTTCCAAATAACACATCTAGAATTATTTAGTCATGAAAGGCTCATTATTGTCTCAAAGCAGCCGCTATCTTCTTTTGTATGAGCTCTACTCCAAGACGAGGAGATAATCTAGGGAGAGTTTCCTGAGAACAAAAAAAGAGAAAAATATATCACTCAAAATCATAATCAAATTGATAAATAGGAAATCACATTCAACATGAAAATTATTCAGGCCCTACTTCATGAGTACTTCCACTTGGCTCTATCACATTTACAAGTGGACAAGAAGGGTCCAGCGGTTTGCTGCTTAACAAAAGCTTCAACAATTATTGCTAGTATATTTGATATCCCATCATTTGTGTCATAAGATAGCTTTCTGGTTTGACAAGTCAACAAGTTTACAATAAGTAAATTAACCGACCAGATCACTTTGTCCTTGTGGTCATGTTCTGGCCTCACTGCAGGGGATGCTCAGGTTGAAGCCCAGAATGGGCCTTTACATTATCAAGAAAAAAAAGTACAGCAAATCAGCAACCAAGATCGTTTGTTCCTCAAAAGAAAAAGCAACCAAAACTATTTAGCTCTAGAATCTTACGGCTGAAGAACATATCCAAGAGGAAATCTGACTGAAAACTAGAGAAAGTGGTTACCAGATATGATGCTAAGATTAGAAGACATAATGTTTCTTCAAAAAATCACCAAGACATGATTACAAATATATTTCAATGTCTCATATGATGTATACAACTTTATTAAGCCTATTCAAGTCAATCTCTTCAAAGTATTAATGCATTATTGCATCAAACACTATCTTGAATAAATACATCTGCATATAAAATCTCCAATTTTGTGTAATATGGCCTTCTCAATGTAAATTTGAAATGCTTCCTGCAACTCAAGGTTGATGGAAGTAATAAATACAAGGAGGTTTTGAATGATGATGGTCTGATGGAACCTTGTTGAGAGCCACAGGCCTGTGCTATGCTTGGTGCAGTACTGTTTGAGACACAGGTAGAAGCTCATTTGCTTTAATTGCATTGCCAGTTTGGAAGCTAAGAGAATTCCCATATGACAAGTTCTTTACAGTTTCAGACTGCTTCCTAAGAAATTCCTTATACATTCCCAGAAGTATGCCATGAGTTGTGTTTTTTTTATAGAAAAAGGAGTATTAATAAGAAGAGAAAGAGATAATTAGATATTGGGAGAATAATATATCCCCCTAAGACCTTCATATAGAAGATCTGAAAAAAAAAAGAAAAAGAAAAAGAAATATTAAAAACTATATAGCATAACAAGAAATAAAAACAAAAAGAAGTAGAAGTCCTCGCACTTAGAACTATGAGGCTTTTGCATCCCAATTCCTGTGAAGCACAGGTAAAGTGACCCATAGAGTCATATGTTCCTCTAAATTCAGGCTAGTCAAAAAGTAATCGTTCCTTTTTTTTTTTAAATAAACAGCGTAAAAGTAATCGTTAAAAATTCACCGATTCCTTTCAAGCCATAAAGTCCACAGCCATGCAAAAATTGCTCCTCTCCTCAGGGGTTTAGCCACCTTCAAATCCCCTCTCCACATAACTAAGCGTTCCACTGAAGGGTGAATAACCCATGAAAAACCCAACAAGTCGAAGAATCACAAGCAACAACTTCCTCTATTGGAGAGAGTGTGGCCCATAATACAAGAGTAAAGGATATAACTGGACAAATTTTAACCTTCTGAATGGGTGGTTTTCTATTCCATCAAAAACCATTTATTTAAGCTCTTTCTTAACACCCAATAAGATGGAGAGGGGAATGGAAGCGCTGGCTTTTCCTCTGCCTCTGCTCAAGCTCAACCTTCAGAAGCTTTAAGTTCCCAGATAGACCCTGCAATCACCGATTAATGCCCAGCACCCTTATACAGGTATGGAGTAGATCAGCTAGAGATAATGACGAAGTGATTGACAAGCAACTTTGAGGAAAAGACCTAGGCGTACAAGTGACCTGAAAACCACTTCAAAACCCATAATCATGTTGAGTGCCAGATAACTGGCAGCTGGCTCAGGTAAAACACTATTTTGTGATCCTGCCTTGCGAGTACATCAAGGTTTCAAGAGAACAGTTATTGATACTATTATAATGCACATGTCTTTTGACATCTAAGTACCCAATGAACTCAAGAACAACTAAAAAGCCTGCATTTGGGAAAGGACACACGGTTGCGCAATACTGAAGAATGAACCAATTTCTAGTCCAGAGGTGGCGTGAGAGAAAGAACCTTGACGACCTAATCTGAATTTAAGGGATGAATTGAAGATGCCTACACCAAATGCACTTGTCCTCAAAATATAAACTTAAGAAATTGGCTACAGTCTATTGCTGTAAGGGAAGGGGGAAACTTATCAAGAAGAACGTAGCAGCTTAAGACATAAAAAGATTGAGACAAGCATTTTCAAGAATGATGTGTTGTGTATATTATTGAGTAATGTGACCTTATATATACAAATAGGATAAGAAAGGAAATGATAATCAAATACATATGATGTGTTTTACCACAATGTTCTTTAACTTAATTCAGCTTAATTATTTACACATTAAGTACATTTTTTAACACTCCCTCAAACTGAGGAATAGACATTATCTATTCCCACCTCGACAATGGTAATTTGGCATAATAGTATATTCAAATTTTTGGTCAATATGTCTGCAAGTTATGAGTTGGCAGGCATATACATTGTACATATCAGGCCACTATTTAACTTCTCTTTAATGAAATGTCCATCAACTTCAATGTATTTTGTTTTACTGTGCTATATTAATTGTGAGCAATATTTAAAGTCAACATGTTTATGTGTTTGAACCTGTTTCAGTTTAGAACCCAGATTCTTCCTCCTTAAGTACACCTGAATAAATTTCGAGTCCTATATGGTTTCTTGATAGATTGATTTTCTAGTGGGTTTCGATGGACTTCTTGTGGCGGTGTAAGTGGAGCTTAGATAAGTGGTAAGGATGGAAAGTTGAGTTCAAACAAAAATCAGTATCCTTATCTTCCAATATAGGCTCCAGCAGAAGATAAGGTTAGGAAGAATAAAAATGTCTCAACAAATGTAACATGCACAAATATATAGAATTTTTGCGTTGGTAGATGGTAGTAGTTGTACCCCCATCCAGAAGATAAGTACCCCACAAAAATGCACCTTAAGGCTCCAAGATCAAGTTTCTTCTCAAATATTCTTGGGACTAGACAGTTGTGTCCCTAATTCTGGGTAGAATTTTGAGAATGTTTTCACAGGACTTTCAAAATCCAAAATACTTTAGGGTGATCAGTTTACAATATAGATGTCAGGAAGAACTGCTTCCCCTTAGTATATTTTGGGACATTATCCTGATATAGGAAAGGTCGTGTAGTAGCAAGAAGGTCACCATTTTTTTATTTTGTCACTCCCTTTCATTATGGAGTGTGGACACATGAAAATTCATGAATAATCCCTTCATGGTAAAAGAATGATGAAAATGTTTGATTGAAAAAAAATCTTTGCACTATCAGTTCGAAATCTTTAATGTGGGTTTCAAATTGAGTTTTTATCATATTACAAAATTGAAGTATTATATGACTCGCATCAGATTTTAATTTAAGTAGGAGAAATCATATGAGTTTTGTGCAATCATCAACAAAAGACACAAACTATCGAGTTCTATAAATATTAAAAATTTAGGATAGTCTCCAATTATCACTATGAATTATTGAAAACATAACTATACTTCTTTTGTTACTACTAGAAAATGTTACACGTTTATATTTAGTAAATTCAGATATATTGCAATGCAAATTTCTATTAATAAAATCTTT